TATAATATATTATTTATATAATATATATATATATATTAATTAAATTATAATTTAAAATTTATTTAAAACAAAATGTTATTTTTCTTAATAAAATAAAAAAAATAAAAATAAATAATAATTAATAAATATTTATTTTAATATTTAATATTTATTATAAATTTTAATTATAATTTCAAATATAAAAAATAATTTATAGGATTTAAAATTATTTAAATAATTAATTATTATAAATATAATTAAAAAAATATATAGGAAAAGAAAAATATTAATATATTAAATTAAAATAATTTATATTTTATTTAAATATATTATAATTATATTATAATTATATATAATTTAAATATATTTTAAAAAAAAAATAATAAAAATATATTTAATTTTTATAAAAATATTAAAATCGAATTATTATTATATTTTTTTTAATTTTAATTATTAACATAATTTAATAAATATTATAAATTAATAAATAATAAATTTAAAAAATATATAATTCTAGAAATAATTAAAATATAAATTTAAAATAATTTATATTATATTATAATATATATATATATAAATTTATATAAATATATTATATTATAATTCACATAAAAAAATAAGATAATAAATATATTAATATATAATAAGAAAAATTATTAAATTAAATATAATAATTATATATATATATTAAATTAAAAATTTAAAAATATTTAAAAGATCAAGGTGGGTTTTATTAATATTTATAATATAAATATATAAATATATATATATAATTTAGTTCTTTTTGGTCCCCCCATCCCACCCTATGGGCATGGGTAAATAGGAGTTATGTTTCCGAAAGAATGATAATAGTAATAATAATAATTAATTGTAAAGAATTCCAGAATATTAATTACTACTAGTCGGATTTGGGATATTTTGGGGCTAATAATAGGAATAAATATAAATATACAAGAGTTATGTTCCCTGCCCATCTCGTGTGGGCGGGTAAGGGGGTGAGTAGTAGTTAGTAGTATTGGTAATATTGAATCCTAGTTAGTAATAGTTAGTAATAGTTAGTAATATTAAATCCTAATTAAAAATAATTCGTAGTAGTCAGTATTAGTTAGTCGTAAATAATAGTAGTTAGTCGTCGTAAAAAGTAGTTAGTAATATTTCGTAGTAGACAGTAATAGTTAGTAATAGATAGTAGTAATTAGTAAAAGTAAGTAGTAAATAATAATAAGTAATATTATTTAAAAATATTTAATATTTATTAGTAATAATTTATAATAAATATACCATATTTAATAATAATTAATTTTAGTTAATAATAGTATTTATAATAATTAATAAATTATAAGTTTTATTATAATATAAATTTAAATATACTAATAATTTCCTTATTTATCCTTCCCATACAAATTTATTTTATTCAAAACAAATAATTTCAAAATATAACAAAAAACAAAATTATATATAGAAATATTAATTAAATATTTAATATAAAAATTTAAGTTTTTAATTAATAAAATATTTAATTTCAATATAAATTAATAAATAAAAATAAAATATAATTCCAAATTTATTTATTAATAAATATATATCTAAAAAAAATAAAATAATAAATAATTAATAACCCATATCAAAATCCAACCAAAATTTCCCCAAAATAATTATAATATAATTAAATATAAAAATATATTTCCAAAACATATTATTAAAAATATTCCGTATTTAATTCAAAAAATTATTTCTAAAATTTATTTTCAAAATTTATTTCCATTATTGCTCAAATGTTTCCCTTTTTTTTTTCAAACCCCAAATTTACGCCCAAAAATATTCAAAAAAAAAAATATATATTATGTTTTTTCCCTAAAAATTTATGTTCGATTTTTTTTTTTACAAAATAAATATTCGGTAAAATTATTTCGGAGAATTATCCAAAAGCCGTTCAAAGTCGTTTCCCAAAGCTGCTTTTCGAAGCTACTCCCCAAAGTTGCTGTCCAAACCCATTACCCCAAAGCTGCAATTCTTCAAACCTATACCCCAAAACGGTTCCCCAAAGCTATTCTGCAAAGCGGCTCCCGAAAGCTGCTACCCAAAGTTATTACTAAAAGCATCTAAAAGCTACTCCCCGAAGTGGTCTGTAAAGTGGTCCCCAAAAATTGTTCCCCAAAGTTGCTGTTCTTCAAAGCAATTGTTGCTCCCCAAAGCTGCTCCCCAAACCCGCTCCACAAAGTTGTTCCCCAAAGCCGCTCCTCAAAGTTGTTATCGAAAGCTGCTCCGAACAGTTGCTCCCCAAAGCTGCTATAGCTCCGCCCTAAAGTTGTTGCCGAAAGCTGCTTCCCAAAGTTTCTTTCTAAAGCTACTGCCGAAAGCTGTCGTTCTTCAAAGCAATTGTTCGTCAATGCTGCTGCAAAGCCGCAAAGTTGCTCCCCACAGTTGTTCCCCAAAGCTGCTCTCCAAAGTTGCTACCGAAAGCCGCGTCGCAAAGAAGCTCCCCAAAACAGCGCGCACAAGCTAAGGAAGCAAGCACAGTGTGTGCAGTAGCAGGCGGGTGCAGCAAGCAGGATGTATCGCAGAGGTGCGTGTTAGAAAGAGCACAGAGACCCCGCAGAAGCTAGGCAAGCGGGGGCAATAGCTCGCAGGGGGTCGGGACGGAATCGAGCCCCGACCGTCCGTGACCGACCGTGCTGCATTTGCCCAGTGGCGCAGTTCACTGACTGGGGAGAAGAGAAAATTTCAAAAAACAGGATTACTTTTTTGGGAAACGCAAAAACGAAATTTCCGAAAAAAGTAGTTAATTTTTTCGACCTCAGCGCAGGAAGTAGAGGCTCAGTTTGTATTCGCACAGACTGAAGATGTCTTCGTGAAAGGTTCAAAATTGTGGCAGATGTTTGGGAAATTTAGCTCAGGAAACTGCGCGCGCTTTGTGTACAGCCAGATCGTAATATCAGATGCAAATAGTAGCAATATATTTTTTAAATTAAATTCCATTAAAAAAAATACCGCTCAAATCCCACAAAATCAATGAAACATAAATCAAAAATGTATTCAGAAATAAATTCTATCTAAATTTAAAACGTATGAATTTGAAGTTTCTAGTGCATGCGGGATGCTTGACGGCTAGGTTGACGGGAGAGATCGACGGTGAGGTTGACGGGTTCTTTTTTTGTGACGGTGAGGTTGACGGAGAGCTCGACGGTGAGGTTGACGGTCCGTCAAAGTGTCCGTCAAGGTGTCCATTACGCCAAAATAAGGCCTATTTTATCATGCCTTATTTTGATAAAATAAGCCTTGTTTCGTCCAAAATAAGCCTCGTTTTGTCAAAATAAGCCTTATTTTGTCCTGACGGACACCTTTACGGATTTACGGACACTGACGGACCGTCAACTTCACCGTCGACCTTTCCCTCAAACTCACCATCATGAAACACGGATCCGTCAAACTCACCATCAAGGTTACCGTCACATGCAACCGTCAATTTGTTGAGGTATGACTAGAGCATACGTTTCTGCAAATAAATTAATTATAAAATATATCAAAGATAAATAGAAATGAATTAAAAATCAATTGAAAAATACTTGAATGTTTTATTCAATATTATGATTCGATTCAAAATTATTCAGACCCCGACCCCTCAAAAGTTACAAAGTTATTAGAGGCACCTTCAAATGTTTGGGGGGGGATCTGGCACTAGTCAAGATCCGACATTAATTGCTAAATTATACTAAATTTAAACATTTCCACTTCTTCCCTCGATTCATTGGTCATCGCCAAGGGTGAGGATATTGAAAGCAACGCTTCTCGAGTTCCCTGGAAGTAGTGAACCTTCAAACTCTCACCAATTGGGATCTGCCAGGAAAAGCCAGATTTGCAGGGTTGGGCTGGCAGCATCATTCTAAATGAGTCCGACTTACTGAGACGACAATAAACTGGACACCGGGTTCCTCCGATTCATGGACTTGCATCCAGCTCGGATTGTTCCCCTCACTTGCCTGTCTTTCCTTTTGTGCTTCAGGTTCGGAATCCACAAGAATCATGGAAAATATTCGTTTTTTGGCAAAAACAATGGGAATATTGTGGACGGAATGATCTGTGCAAGTTTATGGTACTTGACCCTGATGGTTGCATCTTTTTGTGCAACTTGGAACAACGGATAAAAACCTTAACTCACCAGTCCAGCAAAACCAGCTTCTCTTCAGGCGATAGCTGACCGCCTACAGCTTGAGCTGCCGCAATGCATCATAATTCAATTATTGACTAGTAATACACAAGTGAGATACACCCGGATACACCACTGCAGCGCACAACTGATATCAACTGGTCGTGGTTCACAATTGGTTCTTGACATGAGATGTACCAAGGACATCTCTGGACCGTTCTCGACCTCTGCATTTTCTCTGGGCCTGGTCCTTGGCCGTGTGGACAATGGCGGCAATGAAAACCGCAACAGGCCATTGTCTTCAAGGCAGTCGCAGTAAAAACACCCAGCCCCGTCGCTGGATCCGCCTCAGAGCAAGATTGCTGTCCAACTTGTCCAACCTGTCCAACTTGCATGTGAATGTTTCACAACCAGTATTCTGTGGCAAGACACATTGCAGCAGTCTTGTTCTAATGACAAATAATGACAAATAATGAAAAATATGTCCACACATTTCCCTTCCGTAGTTTACTGCTGCTGCAATCGACATTTTTTCAGTAACTAAACAGGACAAGACGTTTTGAAATGCGTTTCTTATCAGTGAATTCTTGGCGAGCCGCATAGCGCTGCCGGCCCTGCTGCGATGCAATGCGGTGAAGCCAGGCACAGTACGACAAATGCAATTTCCTGAGCGGAACACTCTGAAAGATTTGAAAGTACGCAAAAATACACAACAAAAGGTAGCAAAAAAAAAGGTGCCGGTACCATCCGGTACCATTTCAGTGATCCAATGCTCAGCGACTTTGTTCCTTCAGACACAAAGCACGCAAAACACACACAAAAAAAAAAAAAACAGAGGTGCGCCTAGGAGGACATCAATCATTGACTGAGCACCCTTGAGAGTCTCACGTGATGTTGAATAATCAAGCGAGCAATAGCTCAATGCTTCTAGCTAATTTGCTGAAGCTGCAGCAGTTTAAACTTGCTTGGTGGGATTCTGCTCTTGAAGAAGCTCTGAATCAAATCACAAATTTAGATCTCGTCTGCAAAGAATAAAGAATCAGCAGAATAATAAAGCAAAAGCATGGGAACCCTATACCCAGTTTCGCAAACCTGCGAGCAGGCCGGCAAAGAGCCCTCCTCCAACATGCCATTGGACATCTTCAACATCAACCTACATTATTAGATAAAAATCATTGAAGATCTTTGAGTCATTGAGAATCCTTGAAATGGAGTGAAATAGGATGAAATAGGATGAAATAGGCATGGTCTGGATATTGGTCGACGGACTACTACACTCGGGTATTAGATTTGATCTGAACATGTTGAGCACCTGTTAGCACCTGTTAGCACCTGTTAGCACCTGTTAGCACCTGTTCACCTGTTAGCACCTGTTAGCACCTGTTAGCACCTGTTAGCACCTGTTAGCACCTGTTAGCGCCTGTTAGCGCCTGTTAGCGCCTGTTAGCGCCTGTTAGCGCCTGTTAGCGCCTGTTAGCGCCTGTTAGCGCCTGTTAGCGCCTGTTAGCACCTGTTAGCAGCAGCTGTTAGCGGCCTGTTAGCGCTGTTAGCACTGTTAGCGCCTGTTAGCGCCTGTTAGCGCCTGTTAGCGCCTGTTACCACCTGTTACCTGTTAGGCACCTGCTTAGCACTTGTAGCACCTGTTAGCACCTGTTAGACCTGTTAGCACCTGTGAGCGCCTGTTAGCGCCTGTGCTTAAGCCTGTTAGCGCCGGTGGTTAGCGCTGTTAAGCACCTGCTGTTAGCCCCTGTGAGCAAAGGTTAGCACCTGTTAGCCCCCTGTTAGCGCTGTTAGCGCCTTGTTAGCGCCTGTGAGCGCCTGTTAGGACCTGTTTAGCGCCTCTGTTAGCGCCTGTTAGCGGTCTGTGAGACCTGTTAGCGCCTGTTAGCGCTGTAGCGGCCTGTTAGCAACCTGTTAGCAATGTTAGCACCGGTTAGCACCTGTTCACTGTTAGCAACTGTAGCACCTGGAGCACCTGTTAGCAGCTGTAGCACCTGTTAGCGCCTGTTAGCGCCTGTTAGCGCCTGTTAGCGCCTGTTAGCGCCTGTTAGCGCCTGTTAGCGCCTGTTAGCACCTGTTAGCACCTGTTAGCACCTGTTAGCACCTGTTAGCGCCTGTTAGCGCCTGTTAGCGCCTGTTAGCGCCTGTTAGCGCCTGTTAGCACCTGTTAGCACCTGTTAGCACCTGTTAGCACCTGTTAGCGCCTGTTAGCGCCTGTTAGCGCCTGTTAGCGCCTGTTAGCACCTGTTAGCACCTGTTAGCACCTGTTAGCACCTGTTAGCACCTGTTAGCACCTGTTAGCACCTGTTAGCACCTGTTAGCGCCTGTTAGCGCATTGTTTAGAGCAGTAGAGCCTGTTGCGCCTGTCTGTTAGCACTGTTGCACCTGTGAGCCCACTGGTAGCAATGTAGAGCCTCGGTTGTTAGCGCCTGTTAGCGCCTGTTAGCACCTGTTAGCACCTGTTCGCCTGTTAGCGCCTGTTAGCGCCTGTTAGCGCCTGTTAGCGCCTGTTAGCGCCTGTTAGCGCCTGTTAGCGCCTGTTAGCACCTGTTAGCACCTGTTAGCACCTGTTAGCACCTGTTAGCGCCTGTTAGCGCCTGTTAGCGCCTGTTAGCGCCTGTTAGCGCCTGTTAGCACCTGTTAGCACCTGTTAGCACCTGTTAGCACCTGTTAGCGCCTGTTAGCGCCTGTTAGCGCCTGTTAGCGCCTGTTAGCGCCTGTTAGCACCTGTTAGCACCTGTTAGCACCTGTTAGCACCTGTTAGCACCTGTTAGCGCCTGTTAGCGCCTGTTAGCGCCTGTTAGCGCCTGTTAGCACCTGTTAGCGCCTGTTAGCGCCTGTTAGCGCCTGTTAGCGCCTGTTAGCGCCTGTTAGCGCCTGTTAGCGCCTGTTAGCACCTGTTAGCACCTGTTAGCACCTGTTAGCACCTGTTAGCGCCTGTTAGCACCTGTTAGCGCCTGTTAGCGCCTGTTAGCGCCTGTTAGCGCCTGTTAGCACCTGTTAGCGCCTGTTAGCGCCTGTTAGCGCCTGTTAGCGCCTGTTAGCGCCTGTTAGCACCTGTTAGCGCCGGTTAGCGCCTGTTAGCGCCTGTTAAGCACCTGTTTAGACCTGTCACTGTAGAACATGTTAGGGCACTGTTAGCGCCTGTTAGCGCCTGTGCGCTGTTAGAGCCTGTAGCGACTCTGTTAGCGCCTGTTAGACCTGTAGCGCCTGTTAGACCTGTTAGCACCTGTTAGCCACCTGTAGCACCTGTTAGCAACATGTTAGCACCATCCTGTTAGCACGTTAGCAACTGTTCACCTGTTAGCCACCTGTTAGCGCCTGTTAGCGCCCTGTTAGCGCCTGTTAGCGCCTGTTAGCGCCTGTTAGCCCTGTTGTTAGCGCCTGTTAGCGCCTGTTAGCACCTGTTAGCACCTGTTAGCACCTGTTAGCACCTGTTAGCACCTGTTAGCACCTGTTAGCACCTGTTAGCACCTGTTAGCCTGTTAGCGCCTGTTAGCACCTGTTAGCGCCTGTTAGCGCCTGTTAGCGCCTGTTAGGGCCTGTTAGCGCCTGTTAGCACCTGTTAGCACCTGTTAGCACCTGTTAGCACCTGTTAGCACCTGTTCACCTCTTAGCACCTGTTAGCGCCTGTTAGCGCCTGTTAGCGCCTGTTAGCGCCTGTTAGCGCCTGTTAGCGCCTGTTAGCACCTGTTAGCACCTGTTAGCACCTGTTAGCACCTGTTAGCGCCTGTTAGCGCCTGTTAGCGCCTGTTAGCGCCTGTTAGCACCTGTTAGCGCCTGTTAGCGCCTGTTAGCGCCTGTTAGCGCCTGTTAGCACCTGTTAGCGCCTGTTAGCGCCTGTTAGCGCCTGTTAGCGCCTGTTAGCGCCTGTTAGCGCCTGTTAGCGCCTGTTAGCACCTGTTAGCACCTGTTAGCACCTGTTAGCACCTGTTAGCACCTGTTAGCACCTGTTAGCACCTGTTAGCACCTGTTAGCACCTGTTAGCCTGTTAGCACCTGTTAGCGCCTGTTAGCGCCTGTTAGCGCCTGTTAGCGCCTGTTAGCGCCTGTTAGCGCCTGTTAGCACCTGTTAGCACCTGTTAGCACCTGTTAGCGCCTGTTAGCGCCTGTTAGCACACCTGTTAGCACCTGTTAGCGCCTGTTAGCGCCTGTTAGCGCCTGTTAGCGCCTGTTAGCGCCTGTTAGCACCTGTTAGCACCTGTTAGCACCTGTTAGCACCTGTTAGCGCCTGTTAGCGCCTGTTAGCGCCTGTTAGCGCCTGTTACTTCAGCAATATTTCGGGACTTTCAGCAAATCCTCTCCAAGATGCGCTGGGTTGTGAGCACAGCGCTCAAGTCTCCGCAGCTGATCCAAGGCCTGCAGTGGGAGGGCGACAAAACCGAGCCATGCTGAAGCGCTTCGAAGGTTCACGTAGTAGGCTGACTCGACATAAGCCGAAGAAAAAAGTCAAGTTGCTCAAGCGAAAGTCAAAGTGTCTATCAGATGGGTTCATAAGAAAATCAATTTGATTCAATTTGTTCGAATTGCTCCAGCATCTCCAGCCTTCGCCGCCCATGCCTCTTCGTTGTCAGCCGCTTGGCGGACCTCTTCAAGGCTCAAAGGATGCTGCCAGCCTCATGGCTTTCCAAGGAGTTCTTACAACGATGGTTGTGTTTTTCCTTGGGCTTGGGAAAAGGTTCTGTTTCTCTTCTGAGAACTACAGCTTTCGGCGGTGGTGTCAATTCAATTCAGCCACTGGCGATTGCGATTTCAGCAGGTAGATTCTAAATGCTTGAATTACGACACTGTCTGACACTGTCTCAAAAACGGCCATTCGGAATAGGACCTAGAGGACCATCAAAAGATCTGCAAAAGAGATACATACAGACCTACATACTCCGAAAGGAATCAAACTAAAGAGTTCAATCTCGAGCGACGTGCTTGGTTATATATAGAGTACATATACACTGTATACGCACATCACTGCATCACATCTTATCACATCACATCACGTCACGTCACATCACACACATATATACATCTCATCATATGTTGCATAATGTTGTACAAGTCCAAATAAAAACATGTGATACGACTCTATGTGATTATCATAGGCAATGAAATATCATAAAGAGTAGAAATAATCAGGCAAAGGCAAACATTCCAAGCAGAGTTCACAAGAAACAGATGCAGAAGGATGGACATGTACTTCGATTGAAACATTCTTCATAAATTCCACAAAGAGCACAATCATGAAGGATGACTGGGCAGGAAGAATGCTCCAGCAAAGGGAAACTATTGGGCTGTCTGCAACGCAAACAGAATGAAGCAGAGTCAAATCCCTCTCAAGTCCATGCAGTTCATACAGCTCTCAAAAACGTTAAAGTTCAGTCCGCAGAAGGTTTGCGGCCCCGGCCTTCCTTGCACATGGCTGAGGCGTGCAAAGGCACGCAAACCCTCAGCCTACTTGAGCAATGCCAAACATGCCAGAGTTTCAGTGTCTAGAGAAAGACGACTGATGGCAAGAAAAATCCGCCGCGGCGGCTGCAGCACGAAGCAGCAAGACAGTCCCACTGGTGTCCTCCCCCCATGTTTTTCTTGAATATTTTTTAGAAGCTTTAGAATTGCTTAGAATTGAACTTGATGATCCAAACTGAAGTCAATTCGATCAAATCGAAGCTCGTTTGGTCTAAGTCTAATCATCTTTAGGCTTCCGGTCCAAATGCGCAGAGAAGTATCTAGTATTAAAAGCAAACTTAGAGAACATGTGTACCGTTGACACTCCTATTGCAACACTGATGACTTGTAATTTCTGATCATCTCGGGCATCATCTCTTACCTCTGTCGGACCCCACGTTTCGTCATTTTTCTTCCACCTGTTACTGCCCCGAGCCCAGGTTTTCACTGGGACCTTTGGGGGCATGCAACAGCTATCATTTGCTTCCTGGAGTGAGGCCCAACTGAGTCGGCCGAGCCCCGCCAAACTCACTTTTGATGTATCAGACTGCGTCACCAAGTTCGGAGACCAAGTGGGAAAGGCATTTGCTCTGCAATTGCAAATAGATGGAGATAGATGGAGATAGAACATTCCAGATCAATGCAGTACTGCCGAGCTCAGGTGAGCTAAGGAGTTCCTGGCTGTGCTATGGTGGCTTAGCGATAGTGCATCAAAGATCGAAAGTTTGGCGCTTCCTTTTGACCACTTCCTGCCCTTGGGATTGTCTACTGTAAGCCTTACAGTATAGACTCTACTTTAAGCAACTCTGAATCACAGGGCGTAGGCTCTGAAGCCAGATTCTTGTGAGACGGTGTCTCTCAGTTGCTGATGAAAGTGGCAAAAAGATGAAGGTATAGCCTGGCACACACAATCCCTACTGCAAGAAGGCAACACATTCCCGCTCAATGTGCTAAATTGGACAGCTTTAAGCCGCCTGCCACTAGAAACTCTGCAAACAAATCTATGCCAGTGACGACAGCAAATTCGCAGTACCAAAAAGGATCAGTGTTGACTTCTCACTGCTTTGCAAAGCCTCTGGATTGCAAGCATCACGAAACATGTCAGGTCCACGGCTTCTCAGAGTGCAGGTTCAGTTTCTTCTTCCTGGGACCAATGCAATGGAGCCATAGCAGTCATTGCAATTTTGCATGTGTGTTCTGCATTTGCGTTTTGCATTTTGTGAATATACTCTCCGTCCATGAAGTCTAAGCGCAGCGCTTAAGATCAGTTGGCTTGTGGTAGATCTCCAGCACGATCTCCTGCAAACACCGAGTACAGAACATCCAGCTTCCAAATACCAAAGTTGCAAAAGAAGCCAGAAGAACCCTCGAGAAACAAGGAACAACAACTGTTTCGCTTGAGCCGTGCATGGATCATATCATTTACGACCTAGAACCATAGCTTGCAAAAAGGAATTGATACCAGTAGCTCAAGTTTGCTCCTGTGGATCTGAGTTCACTACCAATTCCAAATGGGCAATAGTATTAACAATGTTAAACAGTGTATGAAACAATAAATAAACAAATAAGTATATATCATTTACATGTATGTGTGACTATATGAGTATGCATATGGAATCTGTATATGATATATGTATATATAAGTAAATATTGTAAATCATTGCAAACATCTTGAACTACTCTGGACACCTTGAGACACGGACAGAATTCAATGCGCCTCATCTCGTTTGAGCTCTGTCAGCTCCATGAATGCCCAGCACCTCTAGGGAGCACGGCAACAATAAACCAAATAAACCCATGAAACGAACTTTAAACGAACAAACATTTTATCGGAGGATGTTGGGCAATGTTGGGCATCTCAATGTCGTGTGCGAAAAAATCAAACTGTGAAACGAATCGTTGACTGGCAGCGTTCCCAACAGTCGAAACAAAATCAGTAGCGCCTAGTGGAGATCTTCTTCTTCTTCGGCTTGTAGTGCTTGAATTCAAAGAAAATTGCTGCTCCCCTTAGGACTCCCGTTGAAATAATGAGCGTGATTCCATTTGATGTTGGGGGAACAATGCTCCAGATCAACATTTGAGCACGAAACCCAGCGGCTGTCTAACGACATTACTTGCTGTATCTCTGTCTCGTCAGAGTTGGGGTACACACGATCTTTCCATGTCCTCCAGCGACACATTTAAGTACACCTGAGGCATGGTGGCTGAGTGTATACAAACCGCTGCACTGCGACATAAACTTCCAGTATCTTCCAATGCAAAATTGGAGAGGCCATGGATCTCGTTGCGACAAACAAGTCAGTGTGGAAGGTGCATGTGAATGCGTGTGAGTGTGAGAGTGAATCTCTCAAAACATTTGTGACAACTCAAGCTGTTTGCAGATGAAATAGGCCACCACCTGCTGGTTGAACATCACATGGGTGGCACGTCGCTCGGAGGCAAAATTCCTGGAGAAAAACATAGAAAAGCTACTGCTATTAGCATTGTTAGCTGATATGCACACAATGTTGAAAGCATAGAATCAATTTGATATTATCCTTCAAAAAGTCTTCCAAATAAATGCCAGTCTAGGTATATCTAGGTATCACTTGCTTGCACAGCTAACATCCTGGGGACCTGGCGTATCTCTGGAGTCCAGAATATTAGCACGCGCATCTGCTACTAGCACCGTCATGAAAGGGTCTATATACTCCTCGCAGCAAGCAGTCGCTTCTTGGGGAAGGAATCAAGTTGTGGAAAGAGTGATACCTTCATATGCTGTCCACATTGGGACCTCAGACTGAGCATGTGTCATCATGTTTCTTCCCATTTGGCAAACGGCAAACTGTTTCACAGTAGGAAAGAATCTCAAAACAAGAATCAAATTGCTCTTCACACAGTTCATTTTCAAGCAAGAGTGGCCAACCAAAACTGTGCATCAAGTGGCAGAAATATGAAACATATCAATACAATTCAATACAGATTATTTATTATTATTAATATCCGTTACATCCCTTGGCCTTCAATGAGGGCGGTCCTGAGCATCTTTCAGACCTATCTTTTCGATCCGAAAGCACCTCAATAGACGACCCTGCCGCCTATGCTAATCGACCCTCCCAATGGCTCAGGCACTTCCTATCAAGCGTCCCAGGCAAACGGCAAGGGGACTATGTTGCCAAAGCACTGGAAGTTCAAAGATGTTCAAAGTTGGAAATGCTAACATGCAGAAGGGGGAGTGGGGTGAGAGTGGGACTGATCCAGTTTCGAACAGAGGTGCCCCAGTGGGCCCAAGTCGACAGGTGATTCAAAAACCCATTATAGGACCCAATATAACCAATTAACCCAATAACCCAGCCAAGGGACACAACTGTGCCGCGCACTGTCCGAAGCACAGCTTGTCGCTGATGCCAATCCGTGGAGCTTTCGTCCTTGCAAATCTCTTGAAACATCTTGAAACGTCATCGTGTTCTTCTCTTTCTGCATTTATCAATTCAGGAAGTCAGTACGCCTGAATGTCCGACTAAAACGTCTCCTGCTCTTTTGAATGAGGTCACTCCGCTGGCTGCGCTTAGAGGCTTAGAACGAAGAAAACGAAGAATGTTCTTTTGGTTTCTCGTCAATGCCCGCTGGAGACCATCCCATGCCTCCGCATCAGCACAAATGATTTCTCCTTCGGTACCTCCAAGAACGAGCATTGCAACGGCACAAGACCGAAAGTGAGACACAGGTGAGAAGTGGTGAGAAATAACAAAGTTGGATGTGCATGCAGTGCATGCTGGCGCTTGCAAAGCTTGCTAAGCTATGCTAAGCTCCAAGGCATGGCAAACTAGGTTCACCTGATGTTTTCTGCGTACCAGTATCTCGACATCCTTTTCGGACAGATTCGAACAGTGTCTTTCTGAGGTGTGGCTTCAAATCAAGGGGCACTTGGCTTTACCATCGAAGCCGCAAACTGATATTTGCTTGCCTGAAAGCATGTTGTCCCTATCAGGGAGTATGACAAGTGACATAAAATGATGTGAAGAGCTTTGCTTTGCAAGTGGCATCTTCAATCAGCAGTATGTAAGATAAAATCTACTGTCTGCTCCCGAGGCCGACTGTTCATGTCCATTGGATGCATCAAGGAACTCTTCTTTGCGGTCCAAAAAAATGAACTCCATCAACAGTTGGGCGAGCATCCAAGTAAAACCTTCAACCATCAGAAGGCACAGAACCTCACTCTTTGCAGTCCTTCCTCACTTGAGACCTATATGGCCCGACTGAAGAGTGAGATCCGCTGTTCTTTCTTCGGGCATCAACTAGCGATGGTTCCAGCCGTCCAAGAAGTCAACTCCTCCCCATTCCGAACATCCAAGTTGCATCGACGGGAAATATTTCAGGCTCTGCGCCCGTAAACAACGCCTGGCGATTCTATGGCAATATCCAGTGCAATGTCAATGTGTCGAGTGACTGACTCAGTTCTTCCCAAAAGTCTTCTTTGCTCTTTGCAACCACAAGCGAATTGCTCGGGTTATGCTGTTTGGCAAACCTATTCCCTGAATCTCCCTGAAAGCTTTGTGGTGTCGTTCAAGAGAGGCAGAACGAGCTTTCGATCCTTCTTTGTTGGAAGACTGTGTTTCGCCCCAGTACGAGTATCTTTGTCCTCCCTTCACTCCCTTCACACATTTCGTCCTCAAAGATAGGCACCAAGCACTTCATGTCCGTCACTGTGATGTTCTCGTGCATCGTGCGCAAGGCCTGTGCCTCGATTCATGTTTCACTTGGCCTACTTGGCTCAGAAAACCGATTTCTGGATCTGCATGCGACACAGACACAGTCTGATATTAACTCAAAATAACTCAAAGAAATCTCAAAAAATGTACATCTCGATATATCTCGATGTCATTTCATGCAGCCTCAATACCGCAATCATTCATAATCATCCATAATCATCCACCCACACACACATGGCCTGTGTCTCATCCATACTTGGCCTATGTTTCTGAGATAGAGGCACGAGCGCCCAAACACAGCGCCAAACGGTGCAGAATGTCCTGCGAAATTTGGTGTATCCACACAGCCGAAATGGTGGTGCTGCGTAGCTACAAAATTATGTACATAACGTATACATATATATACATACATACATACATACATACATACATACATACATACATACATACATACATACATACATACATACATACATACATACATACATACATACATATTATGTGTATATGTATATTATACATTTACATTGTGTATTTTATATATATATATACACAGACCACATATGACCACATGATACCACATGCACATTGTCAAACGATGCAATCGTTCGTTGGACTCAGCTTTGGCCTTCTCCTTGGACGTGATGGTTGGCAAGCCCTGCATGGCGAATGTAGAAAAGCAATGCATCTGAGAACTGTGCTCAAGTACTCTGACATCTTGTGATATCTTGTGACATCTTATGACAATGTCATGGTTGACAATCTGTGAATCTGTCGGTCAGTCGCCTGCTTGGCTGCTATCTGTGCAGCCATTGACTGGTAGTCCTCCTGCGCCTGATAGCAGGATTTCAACTTGAAATCAGAAGTCCTACTGCAAAGTTCTGAAAAGGTCAACTTTATTCACACTGCAGGACACTGCATGTTTTTAAAATATCTTCACGATCTAGTCAATCTAGTCCCAGCCTCGACGACTTGGCCCCAGGAGTCATGTTGTTGGGCTTTATTGAATTGTGTCTGCAGCCCAGCGAACAGCAAGAGATCACTATGATCAAGGCATTTAGATGTATTTAGTACTTCAGGAAATCTTTAAACATCTTTAAACCAATTATTTGTAGAACAAATTCAGAGTTAGTCATAAAATCCTGCCCTGCAGGTGTTCAACCTAGATACTGGACACACCACTTTCAGTCCACTGCAAGTATCTTGCCATGCGTATAGTCACTCGGAACACTCCAAAGAGGGTTTGTGGTTGCCTTGATGCTTGAATTTCTGCCGTTCTACTCATAGCGGGACAGAGCTAGACTTCAAGAACTTCAAGTACTTCTCAGGACTTTGTAGCTCTGAAAGTCAACTGAACTTGGGGCTGAGAATGCTTCCAAACTGCACAAAGTTTGGAGGCGGAGCTTTTCAAACTTCATGCCAAGTTTCCATCCAGGAGAGTCGAAGCTGTTCTTTCTCTGACATCGCCATGGCAGAGGTGCGAGGCACCTGTCGAACTCTAAATACTTGGGAAGAAGAAACAAAAAAAAAACATGATGTGAAAACAGCATGAAAATACCACGTCCATCCAGGGTCCATCCATGTCGCACATGGTGAATTTAGGTTTTTAACTAAACTCAAAACACATCAAATCACTCCACACCTCCCCGCACTCTGCGCAACAGCACGTCAGGAATCCAGCAACGGCTTCCAAATCAAATAAATGCAGAAGCGATGCAAATTTAATGAGAAGCAGCGAAACTGATTCAGAAGGATGCAGTGTTCGAGGGGCGTTTGAATCTGAGGCTTCGTTTTGGAGTTTAGCCTAGGACAAGACTTTGGAAAGTCTTGTGAACAAAGAAGGAGTCTCACTCAATGCAGAGCAGCACTTTTCTCCAGCGCTCCATCAAAGACACTGCGAACTGCAAAGTGACCCTCAGCTGCTTCTAGAGCAGCCAGGAACAATCTGGTGAAGGAAAGAGGATACCTCTCCCGGAACTGATTGGTGTGAACAAGAGATGGTCTGGTTTGGTCTCCGCTCCTCACTTTGGAAAATTCGTTCTCAGTGGCGGCATTCAGACCAGCACAGAAGCGTTTTTTCTTTAGTATAGGACAGGTTCCGAGGCTCAAAATAATGTGTGCATCTGTGCATCTATATTCGAAACATATTTCCGCTATGGTTTTTGAATGTTTTTGAACTTTGTTGAGCTGCCAGTCAGCACCGGGCTATTGTTGAGGTATCTTTTATGAAGTTGGATGAAGTTGGTATAGTATTACCTCGCCTGTCATTTTTGGAATCCAGGACTGACCTCTGCAGCAATGTCTTGCCTGGCCACCAAGCATCTTGATGTGAAGAGCGTGACGTGCCCCAAGCTGGGCAAAGCCCAGTAAGGCAGCAACACTCCAAAGCATGGCGTGGAAATACAAGGACCTTCCACAAGAAAAACATGTGATAGTGCCAGGTGTATGTTTCGTTGCAATTGACTGCTACGTTTTCACACATTTCGTCCGCCATGAGCCTCAGAGATTCGAAAATGCCCGGAATGGATTCTGCAACCTGAAAACTTGAACAACAAATACACCTACGCCTACACTATACAAAAGGCTGGAATTTCAGGGAAGCCATTTTGCTGTCTGATGTAAAGTTACCAAGAATCTGTCACGATACGACGACGAGTGAAGAGACCCGATTTGGGTCATTGGAAAACTGGAACAGCTCCAGAGAGCTCCGGAGCTGCTCCTCACTTGCTATTTGGCCCGTTGACCTGACAGCATCTGCCATTTGCCAGCTCACATCAGCTCACACAAGCTGAGGTCACTTGCAAAAAGAAAAAGGAAAAATATATACATGTACCATATATTGCATTTATATAATTTCATACATTCATTATATTCTAATAATATCTAATAATTAAATTCCATTATATATATATAATTACATTCTTATATAATCTTATCATATCATATAATATCTTATAGCTCACAACAGCCTTAAGACTAGCTGAGATTTCCTATTACAAACCTTGGCGTAATTACTTCGTATGATACTTGTTTTGTTACAAGGTCAAATATTCTTGAATTATACTTGCCTGCAGGTATATATGCCATTATATGCCTTGTTCATTCACTTCATGATATATTGTTTCTTGCTACCTGTACTACTGAACTGCACTCTTCTGACAGCCGCACCAAAATAGCAATCAAAGAGATCATGAGGAAGGCCCTCGGCAAAATCTTGCCCCATCTAGACTTCCCATCCAAGTTCACATGACAGAAATCGAGCTAGAACCAAGCATGCGAGAAAAAGGTCAAGGAGAGACTAGCGAAAAACAACAGGTCTGTAGCACATGGCCCAAGACAGCGTGCAATCGACAAGCATGTTGGGCAGTCTCTCATGCAAACTCCACAAAAATGGTTCAGTGCAAACAAAACAGTCTCATCACTGAGGCAGTTGCAAAACCAGGGCAAGTACGACCTCGACAGTTACAGCTGCAAAGGCAAAGAATCAAAGGTGCCTAGAATTTTCCACAAACGCTCGGTAAAAGAAGAGCGAGCAAAACATCCGATGCATTGCTTTGAAATACTATGTTTATACATGTTTATAACCTAAATGCTTTAGCCGCCTTTGTGTATGTCTTGAACTTTTTGTGTTTGCACTACTGAGGTACTGCTTGCTGGACTTGCCTCTTTGATTTTCCGAAAACCAGGATGGCTCTGGAACAGAGGTTGGCATGTCCTTTTCCCATCTTTCCCAACATATCTTGCCACTGCGTGTTGATTTTACATGAGTACTTGCTCGAGTGAAACATTTTTGCCTATACTGATGCGTGTTGTTAGGCCACATCCATATCTGCATTGGCTTTGTCAAAGGGTGCCAAGCACAGCTGAGCACTCGGCTGGAAGTGTATCCAGGACAAACTGGTTGCGGTTGTCTTCCTTTCGACACAAAGCAAACAAGCAAAGCATGCTCGGGTCAAACCCCACATTGGCGCATCCATTCCAGCAGTTTCAAAACATGGAAAGCACGGCACAAGCTCCCAAAAAGAGAAACTCTTTTCATGCCATGTTCCGTTGTAAAAGTCTTGGGTATTGCAGGTTTGAGGGAGATTTTATTTGAACGGTTGCGGTTTCATTGAATAATTATAAGATATTATAAGTTTCATGTGTGCGCGTGCGTGTTCATACGGGAAAACAAAATGAGCAAAAAATAGAGCAGGATGTTTCTTGTGCTTTAGACTTTAGATACAGACGTAGTACTTGCTCTCAATCCTTATTTGATTTACTCGTTGCAGTTGGACATGATACGTCCTTTCCACCGAACGGAGATGCCTCGATTTCAGCTGCCTCTTTGGCAGCTTCCACCGCTTCAGCTTCAGCAGCCTTCTAAGCACATGGAGCAGCACTACATATGCATGACCCACGCAGGACGAAATTTGACGAAAAAGATCGAAGGATGAAAAAAGGCTAAAGTTTGAAGAATGAAGAGATATGAAGGTCAAGGTGGAGTCGAGGCAAGGCAGAGCCAGTGGACCGAATGGACCCTTTCAAGAATCCAAAGCCTTTCTGCACTTTCATACGGTCGGGGACATGACGTCACCAAGGCTTTGCAAGAATGGCCCCAAATTGGAGATACACTCGTCTTGGAACGTCAACAGTCTCCGACACTCATCTAACTGGGAAAATCTGGGAAATATAACCTCAAAGATCTCAAAGCATCCTTTGTTCATTGTAGCTGTTGCCGTCTCAAAGTACAGATTGTGTCCAGTGTTTAGTCCGTGCGTTGTAATCGTTGTATTGCTTGCAATGCTTCTGCAGCTCCCGCAGCTCCCGCAGCTCCAGCTCTCACCTCATATTGATCAGGTGTCAGTCCAACACGAGCTGCCCTTCTAGCAATGCGCTCTTGGCGGATGCGGTCTGCGTTCTGCAACCTCGCACTATGTTCTGCTTGGTTCAACAGAGAAGCTGGAATCCGCTGGAAAAAGAAGGCAACGGCAGCAACAGCACATTGCACTGACAGGTTCGAATCAAAGCTGTTGAATCAGTTGAACCAGTCATTGAATTTCAAGCTTTGGCCATCTACATTTCTTTATGTCTTTTAATATTTATATCATTTTCTATCAGAGTCTTTATATGTCTTTATTCTCTTTATGAAACTTTCAGATCTCCAGGCGCGCTTTGCAATTTCGATCTGCCGCACGCGCGCCACCCAGCTCTCCACCCAGAAGAGATCATCGTTGCACTGGCGGTGGATAAAGTGCAGCAATTGACAAACTGGCGAAAAACTTCCAAAATGCAAAATGATATGATATGATATGATATGACATGATATGACATAATGGTTTGAACATGTTTGAAAATGTTTGAACAATTTGGAATGGTACAGAACTTATTGATCTGACCTGGTTCAAAGCTCTGCAAATCATTGCAAGTCACCGGTCCAAGAAGGTTTTAAATACTCTCTCTCCCTCTCTGCTTTGTGACACTGCAAGGTTGTGAAGCAATGCTTCGCCGTTGATGCCGCGACTGTCCAACACAAGCCCGCTGCATATCAAGGGGAGTGCAATTGAAGACTGAATCCCAATTTTGAGTACCAACTACAGTATCCAGCCCATCAAAGCTGCCCATGAAAATATTTAGAGACGTGGTTGCGGTCACATCTCTTCCTGTCACTTGGGCAGGCTCCCACCTTCATTATCTTCCGGTAGGCCCTTGGCCCGCAAGCAATCATTTAAATCAAACAAAGCAAAGAATTCCCGTCCCGTGTAAAGGTGCGATGGGCACACTGGAAATGCACAGCATTCTCTAAACCCAAGGGAAAGCGGAACAACTCCAGTCACCTTCGCATAATTGCTAGTAAACTTCTTGCTCACAGCAAATGATCAAAGTGGAGCATATTTCCTCTTCTGAAAAAGGGCAAAAAGGCTCTTTCCCAAACGAGACTTCAGATCCGAAAATAGTAAGCCGACAAGCCAACAGGCTTAGTAAAGAAACAACAGGCATCCATAACATGTCGAAACAGGGAAAAACAATGACTCGGTGACTTGGTGATGTGACTCGGTGCCAGCTTTAAGCTAAGGGACTCGGTGATGTTTGCCCAGCGCTCAATCGCAGCTGGAGAGCGATCACCTTTGACCTTGAGAAGAAAAGAGAACATGTAATTACGAACCCGCTTAATAAATCTTAATAATAGGACAAAATCCTCTGACTGCCAATGTGTGATATGTTGAATACGAAGCAGGCCGCAAGTAGGAGTAAGATATAAGACAGCTGGTGTGAGCGTTCTTCAACAAATTGGTTCTGCGGTATCGGTATAATCTATGATTGCTCTTCTTTGCAGCATATGCTGATGCTGAGCTCTAGTTGCAAGGAGTCGCCGATTTGCCAAACCAAAACCAAGCGGAAGATTGAAAGAAAGCTCAGAGTCAGAGCAATTCAAAATGCATGAAATTGCAATATGTATCAATATGTTCCAGGGATCATCTTTTGAGTGTTCACTGACTCAGACGAGAGCATCTGGATGATTCGTTCTGACGAACTTTTTGAACCTCAGCCAAGGGTGAGCAAAGTGCATATCTTCCATCAAGTTTGCAGGTCAAGTGCTGTGGTGGTACTGGTGATGAAGCGATATCTGCAATGTTCGCTCCGCACAAGATTCGACCTTTGCGGGTAAGCACAAAGAGACGAAGAAATCTAACTGCTCTGAGAGATGTCACAAGAAAGAAATGAAAAGCGAAAGAAGAGAAAGAAAGAGAAAGAGCTTTTCTGGAACGCACAGGTCTTTCACACATCCTGCAGGCATATTCTTTCTTTTGCCCTATAGCCTATATAGGTGTTTAATCCTCTCCGCCCTGAGCTTGCCTGGGTATTGCTTGTATGCCATCCATTTTGAAGTGAGCTGCATGGAGTGCACTTATGTACTATTCAGATCCTGAACCCTACAAGACATGTCAAAAGGTGGAATTGTCCTCTCCTTTGCAGGTGCACCTTTGGATGTGATGCGACATTGTCATAATGGGTGAATCTATATCAGGCTTTTTGATTCGCTGAACTTGCCTTGCACAAATCAAGGCTACGTCGCGGCTACGTTCCCAACATATGTGACCAATGTGAGGTGAGTTGGGATTGACTTTGACACTCCATGCAGGTGGGCGTGTGCGCATGTGACTGGAACTGAAAGCGCACACTCCACTATCTTCACGCACGAACTGCGGTGATGCGCTTCCGAGCTGATCCGGCTGAAAACAATGGTAGTGGCTGAGAATGTGGCAAGATTTCAAAGAGATAGAAGACACTGAAAGGGTGGAAGTTGAGAAAGCAATGGAAAATGGTCCCTGGAAGTTCCAAGCAGATAGCAGTTTACCAGGCTTGACAACCCCCTGCGTTTACACAGTGTACAAAAACATTATGTCAATACATATCAACAGATTAATCACATGCTTAAGCCTGTCAGTTTGGCAATGAGTTGAAACGACACAGAGGAATCATACGGCCGGGTCTCAGGGCTTCGATTTGATCTCAGCCTTCGTTGCAGTTCCTTTCAAGCCCAACAGGGACCAAATCCTCAGTGAAGCTTGGCCAAGCGAAGAGTTTGAGCAAGGATTCAATTAACTTACGAAAACAAGAAGCAATCCTACAGACAAACAGATACACGTTGCTTTTTCCAAAAGCAAGGAGACGGACACCAGCAAAGCTCAAGCATTTAGAGAGAGAGAGAGAGTGCGGCTCCGTCTGTGGCTGCCTTCAAGAGTGGCTGCTATATGCCAAGATACTCTGTGCCAGCAACCGTAGGGATACTCGTGGCACGGAGACGCGCCCGGCAGGCCCGCTGCACCTGCACGGAAACTGCAAGGAAATTCACAAAAAGCTCCAGAGTGCTCGATGCAAAAGTTCTCCAACATCCCCTGCTTTGCGGTCCCGGTGTGAGCTGAAGTGACGCAGAAGCATTAGTAGTAGGAGTTCATGTACTTTTAAACAAGAAACTGTATATAGAGGGTCCAACACTATCCAAGAGTAGAGTCTTGAGTCTTGAATGTCTTTAGTGACCGTCTCTCATTTGGGCTCCAGGTGATCAACCAAGACCTCCCAAGACCTCTTAGTTTAGAGAAAACACTTTGAAGTTTCAGGGTGATTTTCAGCTTGTCGAGTCTGTCGATTCTACAATTCAACTATCTCCTGCAGGTCTGGCTGGTGATCAAAGTGTGATCCAAGGCACCTTCGCAGCAAATGGAACCAGCGCTGCAACAAGCAAAGCTGGTGAGGAGGCGCCCTTGCGTTCAAAACACGGCATAACTGGCACAACATGGCACAACACTACCTGTCACTACCTGTGCGAGATGGTTGGATCATTTGAATCTCTCACTGTACAAATGACCCGGTTCACAGCTGACATGCTCTTGGTTGCAGGCTCGAAATGGCCATGACCCATGAAGGCCTGGCAGCCCGCAGTCCTGCCTTTGCTTGGCTAAAATGCCAAAGTATTTTGACAGGTATCGCTGTTCACTCACCATGTTCCGACACACTTTGCTCCGCGCTCAAGCCATCGGTTGTGCCTTTGCCCACCGGAGCAGGTGGGGGTCGCGGCACGTCTGCCTCAGTTCCCTTCCCTTTTTCCAGCATGTACACATTGACATGTGTTGGCATTCGGTTTGAAACAGCAGTTTGAAATTCTTAAATTTCAGTAGGCATGCCGTAGCCACTGCACAAACAACAAAATTAATGTAATGTATCTTCAGAAGAAATGCGGATCTCTTGCAGGCCTTTAAACTTTTCCTGCTTTGAAGGATTTTGGAAACCTATTTGTCGTTCCCAACCTCTTCAATACCCTACAGGATGTCTGGAGTCTAGAAGCATTCCTTACCAAACAGCAAATTCGAATCTGTTTGACCTCGTCTGAAAGTCCAAAAATGTTTGGTCCAAGCTGAGGCGGGTACCAATGCCGCAAAATATTCAATGGAGGACATGGCGGCACAGTTTGGAGATTGGAACTCAGAGTGCCAAATCGTGCGTCTCTGTACATCTTATTTTGAGCAGCAGTTGCTTGATTTGTTCGCCTTTGCCAGTTGCCACTCTATACTTGTTTGACACATTGGTTCCAGCTTTGTTTAATGATTCGCCTCTCTTGGCTTGGAAAAGGTACCGTGCTTTACTTCAAGAAACCAAGATGTCATCTCTCCCCTTATCTTTTATCTTACAAAGTCGGCTGGAAAACAAAAAGCTGACGCCACTTGCGAACGCCTCCTGTCAGTTTGCGAACCTTGCTACAAGATCCACAAGGTGCTCAACATGTTCTTGACAACCTTGACAAGCACTATTCACTATTCAATTCACTATTCTTATCAGTGGCCCCTTCCCTGGCTCGAACCGAAGCAGGACAAGGCCGCGCGTTGCTCACACCCAAAGCAAAGTGACCAAGGTTCCGTTGATTTTTTTTAATTTGTGCAATCCTTTGAAGATGACTCCACGGAAAGCTCTTCTCAGCTGCTTACACATGCTTACACACTACGCTTTCCACCAGCAGCACTCCATGCTTCCCACCATGTAAGAGCCCCTTTCTACCATTCCCTTTGAACTTTGAAGTCTTCCCTGATTTGTTGTTTTCAGCCTGAGGCATTCTCGAGATAACTTTCTCTTTGCACTGAAAACTTTAAAACTCCAAACTGCATAAATAATCATAAACATGGATATAATATATATATATATACATATGAATAATGTTACAAAATACATATGTAAGTACTGCAAAAGGACTGCACCTCGCTCTGCCGCTCTGCCCATTTTCTCTCATCGATTTCTCCAGTAATCGAGACTGGCTTCCACACCATGACCTCAGATTGCTACATGAGCCATGGCAGCCATGGGTTGTGGCACAAGTGGTGTCGGCATGTGTCGGCTGTACCCATCGGCTCCACTGCAAGAAACCTGTGACTGGGCATACTTACGCGGATGAGCCTGGCTGTGTTGCCGGCCTGGCTTCGGGATCATGAGTACGTTCGAAAACCAGCAGCTAGTCAGCATCTTGAAAACATTTGAAAACCTTGTTTCTCTTCGAACTCTGTCAAGCGATATCCGAAGTGACTGAAAGTTTTGTTTCCCGCCTCATCAGTTGGAGTGTGAGGGCCATATCTTTTGGTGATCTCGGACAGCTTGCGAAAATGCTGATATAGAGCAAATCGGGCAGCTTCGGGGACAACAGCTTCATTTGTCCTTGTCACTCTTTTGCTGCGAGACTTGCTCAGTGCTGTGCTGTTTCTAAGCGAATCTCATTAAACAAACAAACTATTAAACTGGTTTAAACTGATTTAAACTGTTTTAAACTTATTCAAACTGATTTAAACTGTGCCTCATTGTGCCTCTGTCACTGAGGTTCTCACACGCGCTATACAGCTGATGCCGCTGGGCTCACTGGACCTGAAAGGTTTGGATCACGCCAAAGTTTTTTGTATTTTTTGTGTTTTTCGTTACAGACTCCAACTGTCAACCTGCATCGTTTCACACTGTCAACTGACTGTCAACTGACTGTCAACATAAGTCAAGGCCAACGTGATTAAAGTAATCCCACCTAACATGAGTAGCCTGACCATATCATATTCTAGGCTTGTCTAGGCTCAAGCCTCTGAGACACATAGTAACTAAATTTAGTTCCGTTGAGGGATTGTCTCCGTGATGTGAACGACTGTGGATCACTCGCATCGAACCCAAAACGATGCAACATTGCAACCGTTCAACTGCCTCCAAAAGGGGATGCATCGTATCTTAGGTTTGATTCCTGCCCTGAGACTAAGGCAACGGTGTTCTATATTGATGACTGGCGTTTGCCTCACAACCTCTCCAAACTATATACACTTGATTATCTGAACGGCTCACAATGTGAAGATCCGAAGAAGAAGGCTCTTGTTTGTCTGGGGACAATACAGCAGCATACTTAGTTGCTGTGCTCTGGCTAAGGCCTGCAAGATCAGAGGCTACTGTAAGTAGTGGCTGCCAAACAGAACATTAAAATGCAGCACCAACTCCACAATGGTATGAGGCCGCAATGATGCGCTGTGCACAGGCTTACCAACTTTGCAACTTTGCAGGTGTCTCGACTGTATTCTGGCTGTGCTTGCCTTGCACATAACGTAGGCATGCCTGGGATTTTGCTGGGTGAGGAAAGCTCAATCAAGCTGATGAAAATTAAAGAGCAAATCAAATATATCATATCATATCATAATCATATCATAATCTACAAAACAATGAATATAGAATAGATTAATCATGCAGTGAGGCTTGCAATGAGGCATTCTGCAGGCAAGGTCTGGATGATTCAGCCTTCGAGAACAGGTTGCCTCGAGCAGGATTGGCATCTGCCTTCTGCCGAGGCGGCCGAGGCTGTCGTGTTATGAAGATGGCTTCAGATGGCTCAAGTTTATGGCTACTATATCATTGTAACCATTGTAATATCATGTGTATATATATAATAATAATTATTATTATTATATCATGTATATATATTGACTTCTGGATTCTGGTTTTGTTGGCTTGGATGGTCTGACCTCGTAAACCATGCAAAATCCACGACTGAGTGGCCGAGTGGATACTTTGGGTATAGAGAAACACTGAATAGAACCATACAGTATCCGTTAATCGGCTACTGGCGACTTCATGTACATGTACAGCACTTTCGTTTACATTCTTTTCTGACCCCTTGAGCCTTTGGTGCGTCTTGCATCATGATTTGTGTCTCTGAGTGCATGCGAATCGCCCAACTGCCTCTCCATTTCTCTAACCCTCACTTACAACCATCAACGGGAAGGCTGGCTCTTCTACGACCTTCTGTGGGCTGCCTGCTTCTCATCCTTCGCTCAAGCAAGACAGCCCTTGCAAGCCGAACAACCTCAGTTGAAAATTATATGAGCTGCAATCAAGGCTACAGTCATGAAGCTGAAAACAAACACCAGGTCAGCTACAAGTATGATGAAGACAAGTCTAGACTTGACAAGTCTTTAGTTTCAAGGCATCAGTTTGGTGGTGTGTACTGTCTTTGCAACTCCAACGAGCCCAAAATAAGATTGCAAAGCAGTCAATATAAGAACATGCAACTTTGTCAACCGCGTTCGACCGAGTTCGACCGAGTTCGACATGTTCGACCTTGATTTTCGCTGACCATTCTCAGTTTCTATGGCAGCTTGGCCTCCGCGCATCCGCCGTAGCCGCCACCCGAAGGGGTGGAACCGAACTCCAGACGGTCCAAGGATCGTCATCCACTGGAGCAGAGTGAAGTACAAAAGGCTTGAGAAAGCGACACGTAGAGTATCAATTCTTGTCAAGATGTATCAGGCATTATCAGGTTAGTTGCTGTGGCATGCTTTGTGAAGGACATCAACCCAGAACCAGCATGCCCTGTCAAATAATTGGAAAGGGATGTAAAAGGCATGTGATATGATCCACAAATAGCGTCCACAAATCTTGGGACATTCAATTATTCTGTGCATGTGGGCAATTGCTTCGTGTAGTAGAAGAATTTACCTCTACAGTAAGTAGTCTTCGAGTTTCCCTCCCCAGCAGAAGGTGGCGTCATGAGACGAAGCATAATGTGCTGTAGCTACCTCGCATCTCCCAAAAATGCCATTAGCCCATATCCTAACACAACACAAAGGAAGTTCACTCAAGATTCATTATAGATCATTATAGCATATGATTGGTGTGCATCAAAAATGTATTGGTGCTATGCTTTCCCGGCACCTGAAGCAGGTGCAACAAGGAACCTGATTCCACGAAGCGCTTGTCCACGCCCTGGCAGTGCACGTGGAACGACTTTCGAAACAATGCTAGATGAACATTGGCATATTGCAAAATATTTGTGGTCGGTGTCCATCTACTCTGTCGCATGTAATCACCACACCAAAGTCAACATGGAATTTCCAAGCGTGGACTGCACAGCGAAATGCTACGGAGTTTGTGATGCCTTGGTTCTGTTCGCGCTGCGCTGCAGAAACCTAGCAAAAACGACGAACCCTCAATGGTCGAACCCACTTTTCACACCAAACGTCGCTCATTCACTGAGGACTCAGCAAGGTCAAATGTCAACAACAATTACAGGTGGTGTGAGACTCTCAAAAACCGATGTGGAAGAAGTCTCGCTCGTGCAGCTGTTTTCGTCAATTTGGCTGGGCATGCTGTGTAATGCCTGTCAGCCTGTCAGCAGGTATCCTGTACATTGTACCCGAATTGGAACTCTTGAAATGTAATCGCTAGTATAAATTCAACGCTTTGGGATTTCAGTCCAGACGCATCTTGCGCCACGCTGTTTCTGTGTTCCGTTCTTTCACTGCACTTGTCTGATTTCGCAGCGCAATTCGCCCATACCCTTAAATCGCGTTCTCCTGCAACAAAAAACGGGTTTGAAACGAAGAACGAAAAACATAATTAGTATGAGAGAAGCATGAACTATCGAGCGGCATGAAAACTCCTGCACTGCTGCTTGCGCCACAGAAGGGCCCGTGGGTTCCTTCGAGCGAAGCTGCCAATTTCATGGCAACAACTAAGAGACCAATGCGAGTTCCGTTCAGTTTCGTGGCAGCTGAACAAACTGGAAGAAGTTTGCAGTAAACTCTGCCGAGGTACTTATGTAGCAGTGCATAATATCTTATATATCAGTAGTACCGCACAAGGCGGTGGCGGAAGTTGCAATGATAGGACACTATAGGAGAGGTGAGTTGTTGTGATGCATGGATGGCAAAGCGAATCCACTGGAGTGGTTCCAATGGTTGCGGTGGTCGCCTCACCCGCAACTGCTGGATGTAGTGTGGTGTAGCGCAGTTGTAAGTTGTAGTGTAGTGGAGTTGCAGTTGTAGAGTAGTGTGGTGTGGCGTGGTGTAGTGTAGTGTAGCGTAGTGTATTGTAGTGTAGTGTAGTGTAGTCTGGTGTAGTGTAGTGTAGCGTAGCGTCATGTAGTGCAGTTGTAGTTTGTAGCTGCAATTGTACTAGTAACTGTAGTTGTAGTTATAATGTAATTAGCATAGTGTGCTGCAATGACTGTAGTGTAGTGTGGTGTGGTGTGGTGTGGTGTGGTGTGGTGTGGCGTAGTGTAGTGTAGTGTAGTGTAGTCCAATAATATAGTGTAGTGTAGTGCAGCGTAGTATACTGTTTTTGTATTTGTAGTAGTAATGTAGCGTAGTGGTGTAGTAGTTGTAGCCGTTGTTGTAGTTGTAGCCGTAGGTGTAGTTCTAGCTAGTTGTCCGTCTATCTATCTGCAAGCTTGAAAATGAAGCTAGTCTGCGAGACTTCCTGAGTTTTTGACCTTGGCAGCATCAAAAACGCAGGAGTTCTCCGAGACTTCCTGAGTTTTTGAACTTGACAACGTCAAAAACAAAGCAATTCTGCGAGACTTCCTCAAGTTTCGAAGTTGACAACATCAAAAACGAAGCAATTGCAATTGTGCGAGACTTCTTTCAGAAATGAAAAGTTGAGTGCAGAGCTGACGCCCTCGTACCAATGCGTTTGGTGTTTTTTCACTCCATCTGTGCAAAGCGCTGCGCCTGCCACCGAAAAGTGATGCCAGGTCATACGAAGTGCTGCACCTGTCACACAAATTCATCTTCCCAAAACTGAAGATCTGATGCTCCAAAATGCAACCCCTCTCAGGAAATCAGCGCCCGGACCTCCTAACATCTCTGGTAAAAATGTCTCTTGTACTGCGCCTGCCACGGAAAATGCATCTTTGCAAATCCTCTTCAAATGCCCCACGCCTGCCATCGATTTTGGAAATGCAACAAAACCCGCACGTTTTGCTCACTTTTTGACAAGGTGCACAATCCCTTGCCCCTGCCATGCGAAACGAAATCTGAACGTCCAAAAGTGGTCCGAACATGTGGTGCTTTAACATTTTGACTTGGAAATGTGCTTCGCGCTACAATGACGTACACTTTTTCGACCGCTCAATTCCTAAGAGCTCTCCGAAGCTGAGGTGCTTTCTACATTTTGACCTCGCAATGTGCTTCGCGCCACAACGGCGTGCACTCTTTCGACATCTCAACTTCCAAAAGTGGTCCGAGCATGGTGTTTTGTGCATTTTGACTTCGAAATGTGCTTCGTGCCACAACGGCGTACACTTTTTCGATATCTCAACTTCCAAAAGTGGTCTGAGCATGGTGTGTTTTATACCTCTTGGTTTCGAAATGTGCTTCGCGCCACAACGGCGTGCACTTTTTCGACATCTCAACTTCCAAAAATGCTACGAGAATGGTGTGTTGTCTACATTTCGACTTCGACATGCTTCGCGCCACAACGTCGTGCAATTTTTCATCTCTCATCTGGCCAGATGGCTCCGCACCCGCCGCTTTAGCGAGCATGCTTTTCGACCCTCCGGAGCGACAAATCATTGGAAAAACACAGTGAATCGCGACTTTTCTAACTTTCGGCGCACCTGCATCTTCTTTCCTCTGACTCTTTCTCTTCTTTGATCTTCTTTCTTCTTCTCTTCTCTTCTCTGACTCTTTCCCCCCGGCTTTTCCATCTGTCCATATTGTCGGAAGTTTGACTTCTAAACTTGCTTCGATTATATGTTTTTTACACGTCCATCCATCTATCTATCCATCCTAAGATGAATTCAATATACTAATATATTGGGAGGTGAGACAAAGCAAATCAGAAAGCGCCACTGAGGTTAAAGCCACGTGGAAACTCTCCCCACGAAGAGCCTGAGCGTGAACGCCAGTGGATTCTCAGAAGTGTGACGATAGAAGTATGTCGTGGCTGCCATGGTGTGCCAAAGCCGGCTGCAACAATTCCAACATTATCACTCCATGCCTTTTGACGTTCAATCACTAGAATCTCTATAGAGTTCACTTGATCAGAATCCTCACAGCTGAAGCTGCAAAAAAAGTTTGCCTGCTGAGGCCTATCGACCTGTCATTCTGCAAACCACAGTGATACCTGTTGATTTGGTTTATATGTGATTATATACTGATAGTTTATTCCCGCATTCACATGTGATTACTACTTCTCCACTCCGCAGTGCTTCAAACTATACAAAGACTCAATACAGGCAAGTGTGAGGGCCCGGATGGTTGAGTCCCCGGAGGATTGGGTCCGTGTAATTTAGGATTGATGGGAAGCCAGAACCATTACCCGGTTACCCACAGTCTTTGCAAGAAACTTAGCTTCATGTTTCTGTTTTGTGCATCCATACAAGTAGTAGGCTGTCAATGGCTGTCATAACATTTGGGAATAGATTGGATCCACTTGCAACACCTTTGCACCGCATGATAGAAAAATATCTGAGCAATCGTCAACGTGATTCTTGGGCCGTTTTCTTTGTTGCTCTGCGCCTTTGATGCAAAGGCATCATTGCGCACGCAGAGTCAGTTGCTCCACACGACTCCCTGGGATTCCACACCATTGGAACAGTGTCATGTCCGGATACATCCTGAAATGCTGCACAGGAAGGGGGAGGGCAGATGGGAAGGTTTTCCAGATATTCTCAGCCAAAAAGGGCAAGCTTTGATACAAAATGGAACAAAATGATTCAAAAATGATACAATCCAGGTTCTACAAGAAGGACCCTACAACTACCGGGTAACTACTGCAACGTTTGCTTCCAAAGGTCATGAGCAGGTTCAAACGGTTCAAACTCTACCGCGTCTGGCGAGTCCACACACAGGCCATGTGGAGCCAACCTGAGATCACACACCGTTCTCCATTGCAGTGGCTGCATATAATATCCAAGAGCCCAAGAGCCAGAAATCAAAGATTTCTAATCATTCAGTGCATTCAGATACATTCAGATACATTCACATTCTTCAGGGCTCTCTGTGCAAATGAAATCGATCACATCAAAATTGATGCTGAGGTTCGGTGAAAGGCAGGAACGCAGCAGGAAGCAACAGAGGGCATATCAAGTATTTCAAGACAACAGAAAACAACGGGAAATTACATAGTAGTAAACTAAATCATTCAAAATGTCAGAGCCTGATCATGATGCGGGCGTTGTTTGGCACGCGGAGAAGCTGCGCCTTGTCCACCTGGCAGTGCCGTCCCTGTCTGTAATTGGCTCAAGGAGGGTCACAGTTCTGAGTCTCCCGACTCCTGTCCGTATTAGCAGAGTGGCCTCACCCACGCCATTTGCAACATGTCAAGCAACCAGAAATCAAAACGGAGACATCTAAACATTATCGAAGGAAGTTTAAAGTCAAACTTCCGACAATATGGACAGATGAAGAGCAGAGCAGGGAAGAGGCAGAGAGAAGAGAAAGATGAGAAGAAAGAAGAGTAGAAGAGAAAGATGCAGATGCGAGAAAAGGTAGGAAAGTCGCGAAACACTGCGTTTTTCCAATGATTTGGGGCTCCGGAGGGTGGAAAAGTAGGCTCGCTAAAGCGGCAGGTGCGGAGCCAGCTGGCCAGATGAGAGATGAAAAATTGCACGCCGTTGTGGCGCGAAGCACATTTCGAAGTCAAAATGTACAAAACACACCATTCTCGGACCACTTTTGGAAGTTGAGATGTCGAAAAAGTGCACGCCGTTGTGGCGCGAAGCACATTTCCAAGTCAAAATGTGCAAAACACCGCGGCTTCGGAGCACTTTTAGAAGTTGCGATGTTGAAAAAGTGCACGCCGTTGTGGCGCGAAGCACATTTCCAAGTCAAAATGTGCAACGCACCTCAGCTTCGGAGCATTTTTGGAAGTTGAGATGTTGAAAAAATGCACGCCGTTGTGGCGCGAAGCACATTTGGAAGTCAAAATGTACAAAACACACCAGGTGCGGACCACTTTTGGCAGTTGAGATGTCGAAAAAGTGCACGCCGTTGTGGCGCAAAGCACATTTCGAAGTCAAAATGTTAAAAACACCAGGGGTTCGAACCACTTTTGGAGGTTCGGATGTCGAAAAAGTGCACGCCGTTGTGGCGCGAAGCACATTTCGAGTCAAAATGTTAAAACACCAGGGGTTCGGACTACTTTTGGAGGTCCAGATGTCGCTTCACTTCACTACACTACACTACATTACACTACACTACACTAGAGGACATTACACTACACTACGCTCCACTACACTACACTGCACTACATCACATTACACCACACTACACTACACTCCATTACACTACAACAACAACTACTACTACTACTACAGCAACAACAACCACAACAAAAACAACAACAACAAAAAAAAAAACAACAACAACTACTACTACTACTACTACTACAACTACAACAACTACAACTACACAACTACACCACTACACTCCACTACACTCCACTACACTCCACTACACTCCACTACACTCCACTACACTCCACTACACTCCACTACACTCCACTACACTAAATTACACTACACTACACTACATAACACTACACTGCACTACATTCCGCCACACTCCGCTACACCACACTACATTACACTACACTCCACTACACTCCACTACACTCCACTACACTCCACTACACTCCACTACACTAAACTACACTACACTACACTACATAACACTACACTGCACTACATTCCGCCACACTCCGCTACACCACACTACATTACACTACACTACATTACACTGAATGATACTGCACCACAGATAGACAGGTAGACAGATAGATAGATAGATAGATAGATAGGTAGGTAGGTAGATAGATAGATGGATGGCTAGACAGATTGATAGATAGATAGATAGATAGACAGATAGATAGATAGATAGACAGATAGATAGAGAGACAGTTTTGAGCGATAGATAGATGGAGAGATAGAGAGATAGAAAGATAGATAGGTAGATAGATAGATAGATAGATGGCTAGATAGATTGATAGATAGATAGGTAGATAGAAGGACAGATAGACAGATAGACAGGTAGACAGTTAGACAGATAGACAGATGAAAGAGAGAGGAGGGAGAGAGAGAGAGAGAGAGAGAGATAGATAGATAGATAGAAAGATAGATAGATGGCTAGACAGATTGATAGATAGATAGATAGATAGGTAGATAGGTAGATAGATAGATAGATAGTCAGAAAAAGAGAGAGAGAAAGAGAGGAGACCTCAAGCACCTTTCGGTCCATCAGTGGATTCGCTCTGCCATCCCGGATTCACAACAACCAACCTCTCCTATAGGTTTCCTATTTGTGAAACTTCCGCCACCGCCTTGTGCGGTACTACTGGTAAGACTATGAGTACAACAAAACAGACACAAACCGGACTGGTTACTTTCTGATGCGTATCCCGATGGTTTGAGCCTGTCTTTCTCATCCTGGCTCAAATTGGAAACGTTGATTGATTGGCCATACCGTGTATTGAATGCTTTTTGCATTTGTTTACCAATTTTGCGGGCGAAACCATTTTGGCCAAGCAGGGAGCAGGGCGACCAACATCTTTGCAGCACCAATGAAGCTTTCAACAGCTGGTTGTGGAAAAGTCAAATGTCTTGCAATTTCGGACAAAACTGGCCCCTGGTGATGAGTTAAAAGATGTTAAAAGCATTTGAAAGCATATCTAAAAGAAAAAACTGTTAACCGCATGTATAATACGCATGTGTGGATCGCCATTTCGGCCCGATTCCTTTCATTGGTGCGGCTCTTTGCTCATTGGGCTGGGGCGGGATGGTTGTAAATGCGACACCTCCACTGCCCATTTAAAGCATTTGCTTGTTGGCCAAATCTGAAGTTGAGAAACAACATGTCTAGATCCATAGCATGCACGTGCCAATTTATGTTTTCATCATGCACTGCACTGTCTTCCCGGTGAGATCAGCTCTACATTCACAAGAAGCCTCGAAGGTGAGGTCAATATCTATAAACATCACAAGTGCTGCAGGATTCCTACAATATTTGATGGCCGTATATATGCCTTGTGCCTTGTCCAGATTTGTTTCATCGATTGTTATGGCAGATTTGGGTTCCTGACGCGTGGTTCCCGCAACCAACCAGAGGCGAGACCTTGATGCTTGAACCATCCCTCCAGACCCAAAAGTGAGCGAAATACAAAGGTACTGAAAATCTAAAAAAAACACTCTCAAAACCTTCTCAAAGCAGAATACCAAGTGGCCGTGAAAAGGCAAGGGCATTCGAACTGATCAACTGATCATGAAGATCCATCATGCAGATCCATGCAGATACATCGTGGAGATCCATACGCATCCATACACATCCATACACATCCATGCAGATCCATGCAGATCCACGCAGCAAATGCAAAGAGATGCAAAGAGCAAAAAACAGATGCCAGCACTCATGACAGCAGGTGAACGCGAATGCAAACCCAGGAATCAAACATGCTGGTAGAAAGATGTAGAAAGTAAATATTCTGATTTCTTGAAGATGTGGCAACAAAAGACTCGAAATGCCTGAGAACTCCTAGCAGGCACTTTTGATAAGATGTCACAGAGTCCCAAGTCCCAAACCGTAAACCTCGTTTGCCGGGATGATGTGCTCCACTGCATCCTACACGCGTTTTGGAATGAATTTTAAATTCCGCATGGTGCAGTTATGACCTGGCAAAGCCTGTTGCAGAAACCAGATCTGAGTGGATTTGATTTCTTTCAAGGAAGAAAGCACTTTTGAGAGCAAACTCTAAATCTTCTTTCTGGCACCAATTGCTCAAGGTTTGCAAGTGGCCTCAGCAGTTGGCATGTCTGCATTTCTGGCCAAGTGAACAATGACCTTAGGCACACCGCAGCTCTCTTTCCTCTGATGCTTTCCTGGCAAACTTTGAACATCTTTGACCAGAAACTGTTGGTTCGAAATGGTTTAAATATCTTCAAGAGGCTTATGATATGTCACTTGTGTCCTGTCAAAGCTGTGGCATGCTCTGGCGGCAAAGGCAGCGACTGCAAATCTGAGACCTGCACTGGTTGGTTTGTTTGGTTGTCGATGTGTACCTTTGCTTCCGGGCTTCCGGCTGCATTCAGCATCCGCTTTAAGGACCGGAAATTGGTCCATGCACATGTTGTCTTAGGTGAAGTGTTGGTTTCTGAAGGCACTGCTGGCAGCTGTAAACAAAGTAGAGCTGCCGCAGCTGCCGCAGCTGCCCTCTACCTGGCTCTACCTTTTATACAACAGCGGATACGGTTACCGGTTATCCTGACATGTTTTGGCCCTGTGAGGAGGGCGCAAGCGTCATCCATGGGCTGACTCCAGCAATCCCATCCTAAAACGACGTTGCGGAAACAACGCAGCCACACAGCAGCTGTCAAATGAACTTCAGCGACTCTTTGACATGGATTAAAGGGAAGCGAAGGGAAGGGTCCACAAGTTGTCAATACCAACCTCTCAAATGAAAGCACATGGCACACCTGACTCCAAAACGGGCAGATCTGTATATATATATCTCTCTCTCTCTATTTGTATATATATATAGAGAGAGAGAGAGTCAGCTTTCAAGAGTCCAACTGTTTCGTGCAGGTGTCTTCAACACGACAGATCATTGAAATTTATGTGATTCCTCTGACTTCCAAATTCACTGCAAATGGATGCAAATGGTGACACGTTTTCTAGTCCTGGAGGGCACGGCTTGGAAAACTACCCATGGCAACGGCTTGCTCGGCTGCAACTGACTCACTGAGGCTGAAGTTGTTCTACCTAACTCTCTCCAGTTCAAAGGGTGCGTGTCCATAATCTTTGCCCTCCGGTCCAAGACATTACACATATCGCCAACCTTGATTGCTAAAGCACTGCTAAGCACTTCCAAACCCCTTCATATTGTTTTACAGCGATCTGCCTGAGCCTGGCTTCTTTTCACTACTTTGATGAGCAGACCGTTTATATTGTCTTCTAATCTGTTCTTATGAACAATCCATGCCTCGGTCCTGTGCAAAGCAAAGCTTTACGATTCTGTGTGGTTTCCTTACTCGACCCATCTTTGTAGGACTCGACACTTTGCACTGGGAACCAATTCGTGAGATTTGTCAGTCTACAGTAACTATACTTTTAACATTTTTTTAAGGAAGTAGTCATCAACTGAAAATTTCCTGCGCATAACACCTTGTAAACCTCTGCATAAGAATGATGAGGGAAGCTTCTAAGGGATGCCGCATGCCAGCAAGGGTTCTAGGTATACCTTTGCAGGGCTCTCTGTGGTACCGCATGACATCTCCAACTTAATTAGCAGAAAAGGCTGCTGCAAAATCTGCAGAAGTGAAGAAGCTAAGTCTTGCATGACATTGCATGACATTGCATGACATCGCATGATACTGCATGATACACGAGAACACCTGTTAGCAAGGTACGGTATTTGCGAGTACGGCAACGTGCTATGGCCTCAAAATATGTTGGCACGAAGCGTGCAGGCTCTCGGAGTGGGCCCGAATTTGCCAGTGCCTCAAGGTGAAGTGCAGAGTTGTCGCCAGAGGCGTTGAAGGCATTGCAAACGTGTCGAAGAGATGCTAAAGTGGCGTCAGATTCCCACAAGCAACTGTCAGAATGAGAGCAAAAATGGCACTGCGATGAATAGCAGAAAACCCTGGCCAAGAAGAGTTTCAAGACCCACACAATGATACAAGCATAATGATTAAGAAGGGATATGTGTATTTATTCGTGCCTTCATATGTTTTAATGCTGATGGATAGCTGGAGCAGTCACAAACTCCATTGTCCGTTGAGCCTTCAGTGCCCTGAAGATAGCTATCGACCCGACTGCCTGCACTGTGACGTAGCTAATCGCTGAAAGTTTGTGGAATTTGACAATCAATTGACTTGGCTGTGATGGTGTGATGGAATGATTGTGTGAAAATTGTTGAAGCTACTAGTATGACCTTTCCTTCCTTGTGGATGTCTTCGGGCAAACAGAAAGGCGTGCGAAAATATAACACAACATGTGGACACCGGGCATCAGAGAACCATGTAGAATCAAGGCTTTCTTTCAAAGCTTGCGCTGTCAAAAGAACAGAGAATGCATCCAACCAATCGCTGAAATACCCTGAAATTTGGCCCTGCCTCAAGTGCCAAATGGCTTGGCGGCCGCAGCTTTTCTAGCCTTTCACAGAGCTGGAGCGTGTGGATATTCCACTCAGAGATAATAGACAGTGATGAGAATATCACCTGCGCATCAGTATTACAAAGTGATACAAAGCGCAGAGATGTGCAGAGATGTGCAGAGTATCAAGGAATCGAAATCATCGAAGCATTATTTGCTGCGGCGTGGAAGGCTTGTACCAGGTGTGCCGCACGGTGTGCCAGGCCCTTCCAATCTGCTCAGATCCTGGCCATCTCAGCAACTGGCTGTGGCTCCTTGCTGGTCACAGAGAGGAACCCAGGAAATTGCCGTCGAACCGTACAGCCAGATACAGCCAGATACAGCCAGCCCAAGAGGTTACTAATTTAAGGCTAAAGCCTAAAACCAACTTGGTGAACGCTTCAATATGCTTCAATAGACAAAAGAATCCGGCAAGAGGAGGAGAGAAGAAAATGTTCGGGCAACTGGAACCAAGGCATTCTGCAAAGGCGGAAAGCGAAAAACAAAGATATACAGAATCAGATATGAGATGCAAACACTGACTAGGGCCTCCGGAAAGCAGATTCATCCAAAAATGGCTCAATCTGCCAAAACTATCCAACAATCAGACGGACAATGCATCTAAATTCCAATTCGGAAAATGCGAAGTTTTTGATATAAGTGCATATCCAGACTCGAAATTCAAACAAATTCAGGGATATAAACGGGCGAATCCCTGACATGGGAAGCAAGCCAACGATGCAAGAGTTGAAGGCTATCCTAGTCATACTGGTACACAGTCCCATGTACATGACCTTTCAATACCTTTCATTCGCATGATTTGCGAGCTGTGTGCATGGCCCCCATTTCCTTCTCCACAGTGTCCTCAGCGGTTCTGCAGTACCATACAGGGCACCTTATGCAGGCAACAGGCCACGCACATCGCGGAGCAGAAGGCTTACAAGCAAAGGATAAGTTGTTCCCAACAAGCCGTACATGTTGCCCGCATTTGCCCGCTGCATTTTGCCACCGCATCGACTGTTTTTGGCTCACTTTGGAACCTGGAAAGTCTTGGCTATTTGGCCAAGCCAAAAGCGTATGTGATGAAAAGGGACATGGCTCTGCCTGGAGTCTGAATAATAGGTCCATCAAAGGCATCAGTACGAGAACCGAAACGACGCCAAGGATGTCCTTTTCTGAGGGCAGCCTGTTCAGCAATGGAAATCCTTCGTTGGCTCAGTCAATGCGCTTGTAGACCTGAGAAACATCGAGGGATTCTTGGTGCATTTGGACTATGCATTCTGACAAACATCAGGACTCAACGGGCTGTACAGTCTGTGCACATTAAAGCCAGGTCATAGAAATCATGAAAAGCTGCGAAAAGAAGCTCAGGACTGAGTCTCGAACAAAAAGTGTCGAGCCTTGTACGGAAGGTACCTGGTGTGAGCACGTTGAATCATGAGCAAACATTGTCTCCAGAACCGACTCGTCATTGAAAAAAAATATACAGATCCAAACGCGACAAAGATACTGTGACGGCGGAGCAAACACGCTCTGGCTGCAATGACAGCACTGTGGGCAAAAGCTCGCCTTGGCTGAGTGATAGCGTGGTGAATTGATTGACTCAGATTCTCTCTCAGACTTCAAAGTAGTCGGCCAGGGCAAGATGCATCTTCTGACTTGACATGATACCTGCCTCTTGCACACTAGTCTCACTAGAAAGAACCTTTCATTCTACACAAGCACTTGTTCAATTCATTGGCTTTGGATATTTTGCAAGTCACGAATGCCTTGCCACGCAATGGAGGCATTGAACTGGAAGCCCTGTGCAGTGCGATTGGCAGCATCGGCTTGCTCCGAACCAAACACAGCCACAGCTGTGGAAAAGATCAGCCATTGCTGCATGCTTCGGTTTAGAGTTTAGATGTGACTAGAACAAAAACACGAGAACCACGGCGCAGCTCCGTGGTAAGAGGCGGGGACAAAGACATGGGAAAAAAGCACACAAAGAGGTAATTAATGCGAAAGTCAAGTGCATGTATTTCTGAATGTATGAATGTATGAACGTACGTAGATACACACGTGCACGTGCATGTGCATGCATGGATGCTTGCATGGATGCTTGCATGGATGCTTGCATGGATGCTTGGATGGATGGATGGATGGACGGACGGATGGATGGATGGATGCTTGTATGCATCTATGCATGGATGCGTGGATGCATGCCATGCAAGTATGTATGTACGTACGTAGGCAGGTATGTATAAAAGCCGTTTAGCACAGTCCTGTGCTTTCGTTGTAAATACTTGCGCTGATAACATGCAGTTTAACACAGTGGCTCACTTTACATAAGTGTACCGAGCAAGTATTTTGGCAATGCTGCGCACCTAAGTCATTCGGGATGTGGCTACAAGGCCAAAATGTTTACGAGCGAAGCTCGTTCCTTAGCCCAGCCAAGCCACTTGCCTGCCGATGATGCTCTGTGTAATTTGTCAATAAAGAGTAATAAAGGATCATGTGCCTTTTCTGATCAAGCTGGAAGTGCGACCAATGATCTATTGCTAGGAATGAAGGGAAGTCCTTCTGCGTTTCCTTTTGGCCAATGGCCAGGGGAGGTGTAGGGCCAGCAACCAGGTATCGTTCTGAAAGGCACACTTTCAGGAATAATGTGTCAGCCACCCAATACCATCAGGCAGCAGTAACCTTGAATCATTTGTTGGCTCGGATTCTGGCTGTCTCTGTACGTCTCTGTTTCTCATGTCTCATGTGCCTCGCACCAATTGCCCGTAGGACAAAGCGGCCTTACTTGTTGGCTGTAAACCATCAGCTCCAAAATGCCACCTGGAAGCAACATTTTAGGCAACATCCTGGTCAACATCACATAATCTAAAACAAACGCAGCAGACTGAGAAGTCATCATTCCGTGCGACACCTCTTCGTCAGCTCTACTTTGAAAAGAAACCTGTTTTCCAAGCAAGACATCTAACTACCGGATTCTCCTTGCACTTTTGGTTTGTACTGTGTGTCTGCAAAACACATTTGGACAAAGCACTAGTTTTGAACATGTTCTCACTAAATTGGTCTCAGAACGAAGAGGAGCCCTAAGTTTTGGAAGAGAAGCTTGCCTCTGCGCAAGAGCTTAAGCAATTGTTTCAGGAGCTTCACGAAATCTGCAGAGGACATATCCTTGTACAGTAAATTGTTCCTGCAGGCACAGCTGATCATGGGAAAAAAAATGACATACATTTCTACTCTGTGGAATCTGGTCGTAATTGTACGGTATATAATTAAGTGCGAGGAACATCATGTGGGTATGATTCAAATTTTGGGCACCAATGAAACGACTCCTCCTATTGCCATTTGAAAGATTTCTCAAGTGTTAGTCCATCCAATAAAGGGGGTACATGATTTTGAGCCGCTGCCAGGCTGCCATGTGTATTTTTCTTGTGTGTGAACCCGACTGTGCTGGCTAGTTTCGCTAGGACCAAATCAAATCCTTCGGCTGGGAGGGCGCCATATTCCTCGGCGAGCAACATTCTCTGAAAGGCTCCACTGGTGATTTCAGTCTGACAAGCTTAGTCTTTAAGCGACACATTGGTTGATGTTCATTGAAGAGCCCCATGGCAATCTGAAAGGATTGCAGCTCGATCGGAAATTTAACAAGAAGTAAAGTCCAGAGTTCTTTGATTTTGCTTACAGTAGATTGGAGGCGGGCAAGTATGGTATCATTTCATGGTCAAAGAGACTCTTGGCGGTTCCTGAAATCTTGAAATTAAGATAAATTAGGTATGTTGCCAAGCTGTAGGTGGTATGTAAATAATTAGTCAGTTTTGATACATGTCATCAAACAGGAGCAGCCTTGAGCTCTTAAGCACTTGCCCGTTTCTCTCATTGACGGACCTGACTCACTTGCAAACCTTTTACCTCGCCCTGGTTGGAAGCTCTTTGTGAAGTTTGGAAGTTGAAAGATGTTTAATATGGAAAAAATGAAAGTCGCAGAGAGCAAGCTTGCTCAAGCAGCCACTTGCAGCCACTTGCTGCGGTTGCTGCAGCCACTTGCAGCCACTGGCTCAAACTGCCAATCTGCAAGTCGGCGCAAGTGGCTGCAAGTGGCTGCACGTGGCTGCAAGTGGCTGCGGGGTGAGTGTCTGCCAGTGGCTGCAAGTGGCTGCAAGTGCAAGAGGCTACCAGTGGCTGCAAGTCGCTGCAAGTGACTGCAAGTGGCTGCAAGTGGCTGCAAGTCGTAGCTTGTGGCTGCAAGTGGCTGCAAGTGACTGCAAATGGCTGCAAGTGATTGCAGCTGTCTGCAGCGAATCGTAACGATTTGCAGCTATGTTCCATTTTGAAATATAATTGCTTTATGGATTTTACTTTTTTTCAAGACTGTCTGTAGTAGAGGGCTAGCAGCCACCAGCAGCAGCTACCCGTCCCCATTGCAGCATAGGTATAAAAGGTGTTTTCGGCAAAAAAACGTCTCAGAGGGCCAGATTGTTTGTATTTGAGGAGCGCCCACTTGCAGCCAGCGAACTTACGACTACCTGCTAAGTAACTTTTGTTGTTTTTTTTATAATGGTTTAGCTTAGCCGGTGTCTAAGAAGCGTGGTTAGTAAGTCGCCGTTTCGCGACTTATAACACCTTTAAGCGTGTCATCGCTTTGGTTGTTGATCATTTCATCATTGATGTAAAGGGCGTTTTTTCATGGGCGGAGGTTAGAGTTCCATAGCCATATCAACGTTATTTATTTTTATAAATTAGGCTCTGCTGAGTTTTGAAGTTGAATCCCTTGTATCGTTCGGTAGCTCTCTCCTCTTACCGCTGCACCTATCACGGGCTTCTTTTCATAAAAAACACTTGCTAGTCTACCTTGTTCATGCCTTGTCAAAATCATCAAACCACAGACGAAAACAAATACGCATAAACTAACATGTCTCCCACTTTTTTCACAGCGACACTGGACGTGTCCACAGCAAATGGTTGAAATTTTGGATCATCAGCTCCACAATCACATGCGCCAGAGGCAGTGCCTGATCAACTGGCTACGGGCATTTTTCAAGGAAGTCCAAGCAAAAGCTCGTGCGTCATCCAGGGACACACTGCAAAGATCGGCAGCTGTCTGCAATATATACTAACTGTTCAAATTTGTGTTTTCCAGGATCTCAAATGCCGTTCGCTGCGCTCGCAAATCATTCTGATCAATGTATGACTGGACACCGAAGCCGCACCAATTGTTCGAGCAGGTATTGCTTCCAGTTCATACGTTGGTGCTACACATAAGGGCACAGCCACGATTAATTTTGTTTATTGCACCAAGATTTTTTAACGCAGATTTTAATGCACTACCTTGCAAACATTTAGCATCTCTTGTCCTCCCTTTATCTGTCCATCTGTCTACCTTTCTGTCTGATGTATTCATTTCTGTATGTCTCTTTATATGATCGCTGTGTGGGTGGAAGCTTACTGTGTGGCCGCGGCGTATCTTCCAAACTATTTTTGTACGTGTTGCAGTAGTCTTTTCATGGCGACTGTTTCTACGCGAAGAATTCTCTAATTTACTTTCTCCATGGGCATGCGGCATGGATGCAAGAGTTTATTCATGCGACTACATCATTGTCCTTGTCTCCAGTAGCGCTTCCAAGTCGACGATTTGCCGCACCAGTTCAAGGTTTTGTGCCTCCAAGTGCCAAGAGCTGTAGTTGTTGTGAGTATGGTAGGTCCGAGTTGTCATTATCATGACCAAGTCTCAGGCAGTCATCACCAATGCGGGCTGCCAGTGCATCCCTCAGAACCTTCGTAGGTGTCGAGGAGGTATCGGCAGGTGTCATGCCAGGTTTTCCTGGCCGCGCAGCTGGTATGAATAGATGTGTGTGGGTTTAGTCGCTGTGTCATGGCGTTGTCATTCCATCGTTGACTTTCATTTCTTTTGTGCTAGTTCCAGCAGGCCATGCATTTCTATTTCTGCTGAGATCAACTATATTAAATCAAGACATGTATATCAGAAGTGAAACCAGCAACAATAGTCTGAGATCAAAGAAAGAAATATCCAAGACACATCTGTCGCAGCACTCGGATGGCTAGTGCAGACTTTCCGCCTGCGATTGCATACGCACGGTAGTGGTCTTCAGGTGGAAGTTCCATCCCCATGCCCATGGCTTGTTGCAGGCATCATGTCAAGTCATCTCTTTCCTGCGGCTTATTGGTATATGTTCTGACTGGTATACTGTATACTCATCAGGCCTCAAAACAGACTGGTCTATGTCAGAACTGGGTGGCCGCGTACGCTTGCCCCAAGCACTTGCGATGTTTCGTTTTGACTTCTCCACGGAGTTCCATCATGAGTTCAAAACTGGTAGCAGCAAGTAAATCATAGTAAATGTTTGCAAGCATAGGAAATCTCAATCGGATGCTGCTGTCCTGGTGACCTGCACAATCGAACCCCACAGCGGCGTCATGTCCCGCATGGCAGATAATGCCGTCCAGGTCTAATGGCTCCATTGGATAGAGTCCAAAATAATCATCACCAACTCTGCGTCCTGTGGCGCCTTTGGTTCAATCTCGAACTTGGCATTGTCGGCATTGACTAGCTGGCCACAGCAGTCATAGATTGCATTGACAATGAAATCATTATACAATGAATATCCAAGTTACTGGGGTAAACCCAACCTAAAGAAACTGCCTCCAACAAATGTTTATTGCTGAGTGTCTTTCTATTTTGCATTCATGGAATCATGACCATCCACCACAACTTCCAAGCCTCCGTCAGCAACGATCCGCGAGTTATTGGCTGTGGAAACAGAGGATTCCAACACACTCTGCGTAATGGTGTAGTAAACAATATCCAATGTACTGTACAAACCTGTTTAGGACATACAAAGGTCTAGATCTTTACGATTTCGGAAGAATATCTAGAGCCATCTTGTTCTCACCTTTTTGTAGCTCTTCCGGAAGGCAATGTAATGACATAAGATATTGTGCTGTTGCCTTGTTGTGCTGTCAAGCTTCATGTCAAGCACCTGGAGCCATCTTTCGGGCAGGCACTTGCATCATAAAAGGTTCCATCTTGAGGAACATCACAATATCTCTCGACGAAACAGAAGGAAAATTGCCACTTGCTTCGACGAATGCTACGTTTCAATCTTTCTGGGGAATTGGTATAACATCGTTCTTTGGTCTGCGGAATTCGCTACGACTTGTCTCGCAATATTCTATCATTCCTTAGGACTTGGCAGCTCCCGCATTCAAATCTTGAAAAAAAAGAGAATGAGTGGTGGCAATGCGTGTCCGGACGTGGCTCGACGCTGATACGCTGAGTAGCTGAAAAGGTTGCAACCTTGCATAGGGTAGTACGCTGATACGCTGATACGCTGTTACGCTGTTACGCTGTTACTGGACACTACTTGCGTCAGCAATGGAAAGAAACGTAAAAATCTACAATGACGCTTTTTTTTCAAGATGGCACGTTCCTGCAGATGGCTACAAGTCGCTGCAGATGGCTGCAATCACTTGCTGCCACGTGCAGCCACTTCCAGTCACTTGCAGCCACTTGCCCAAGCAGCCATTTGCAGCCGCAAGCAACCACTTGCAACCACTTGCAAACCACTTGCAACCACTTGCAACCACTTGCAAACACTTGCCCAAGCAGCCACCTGCAGCCACTTGCAGCAACCACTTGCCCAAGCAGCCACTTGCAGCCACTTGCAGCCACTTGCAACCAGTTGCCCAAGCAGCCACAGGCAGCCACTTGCAACCTTTGCAGAGACTTACAGCCACAAGCAACCACTCGCAACCACTTGCAACCACTTGCAACCACTTGCCCAAGCAGCCACTTGCAGCCACTTGCATCCACTTGCAGTCACTTGCAGCCTCAAGCAGCCACTTGCAGCCACAAGCAACCACTTGAAAACCACTTGCACGCCACTTGCAACCACTTGCCCAAGCAGCCACTTGCAGCCACTTGCAGCCACTTGCAGCCACTTGCAGCAACTTGCAGCCACTTGCAGCAACTTGCAGCCACTTGCAGCCACTTGCCCAAGTAGACCTGGGGCCACCTGCAGCCACTTGCAGCCACTTGCAGCCACTTGCCCAAGTAGACCTGCGGCCACCTGCAGCCACTTGCAGCCACTTGCAGCCACTTGCAGCCACTTGCAGCCATTTGCAGCCATTTGCAGCAACTTGCAGCCACTTGCCCAAGTAGACCTGCGGCCACGCAGCCACTTGCAGCCACTTGCAGCCACTTGCAGCCACTTGCAGCCACTTGCAGCCACTTGCAGCCACTTGCAGCCACTTGCAGCCACTTGCCCAAGTAGACCTGCGGCCACCTGCAGCCACTTGCAGCCACTTGCACCCACAAGCACCCACAAGCAGCCGCAAGACCCAACAAGGAGCCACAAGCAGCCACTTGCACTTGCAGCCAGTTGCAGCCACCTGCAGCCACTTGCGGCCACTTGCGGCCGCTTGCAGCCACTTGCAGCCACTTGCAGCCACTTGCAGCCACTTGCCAGTGGCTGCAAGTGGCTGCTTGTGACCGGCTGCAAGTGGCTGCTTTTTTGAAGATCAAATTGCTCACCTCCTTCGCCCACAATGGAAAGTCATGATAGGCCATGCCTTCTGACACCTTCAACGAAATCAAAAATGAACTCCCAGCCAAGGGTCACTGAAAACTTGCGCTCGGTGTCTGAGGCGCTGCTGAGCCCGCTGCACGACAAACGGGTCCAAGTCATAACCAACTACTTGAGCAGTAGGAAACCGATAGAGTGCCTCCTGCTGGTAGGGTCATTCAGTCATTCAATTGTCTGAACAAGTGGAAGTAACATGGAAAAGGCATTACAGAATACTACAAAAGGATGTTGATGGTGCCAAAGTTGAGGCTACGTAAAGAGGTATTGCATGCGCCGTATTCTGTCATGAAGGGTCAAACCGAAACATGATGCTCATGAAATAGAGACGCGTGACAAAAGGAATGAGTGGAATCAAAAACGAGGCCGATTGGGAGCTACGGCTTCAGTCCTAAATCATTTGGGTTGTACAATTGTACAAGGCGACTTTGCTTTCCTTACCTGCGCCTCATTTGGCACAATACATGCTCGGATTTACTCCATTCTACTCCATTCTACTCCATTCTACTCCATTCTACTCCATTCTACTCCATTCTACTCCATTCTACTCCATTCTACTCCATTCTACTCCATTCTACTCCATTCTACTCCAGTCTACTCCATTCTACTCCATTCTACTCCATTCTACTCCAGTCTACTCCAGTCTACTCCAGTCTACTCCAGTCTACTCCAGTCTACTCCAGTCTACTCCATTCTACTCCAGTCTACTCCAGTCTACTCCAGTCTACTCCATTCTACTCCATTCTACTCCATTCTACTCCATTCTACTCCATTCTACTCCATTCTACTCCATTCTACTCCATTCTACCCCATTCTACTCCATTCTACCCCATTCTACTCCATTCTACCCCATTCTACCCCATTCTACCCCATTCTACTCCATTCTACCCCATTCTACCCCATTCTACCCCATTCTACCCCATTCTACCCCATTCTACCCCATTCTACCCCATTCTACCCCATTCTACCCCATTCTACCCCATTCTACCCCATTCTACCCCATTCTACTCCATTCTACTCCATTCTACTCCATTCTACTCCCCATTCTACTCCCCATTCTACTCCCCATTCTACTCCGCATTCTACTCCGCATTCTACTCCGCATTCTACTCCGCATTCTACTCCCCATTCTACTCCCCATTCTACTCCGCATTCTACTCCGCATTCTACTCCGCATTCTACTCCGCATTCTACTCCGCATTCTACTCCGCATTCTACTCCGCATTCTACTCCGCATTCTACTCCGCATTCTACTCCGCGTTCTACTCCGCATTCTACTCCGCATTCTACTCCATTTTCTACTCCATTTTCTACTCCGAATTCTACTCCGAATTCTACTCCGAATTCTACTCCGAATTCTACTCCGAATTCTCCTCCAAATTCTCCTCCGAATTCTACTCCAAATTCTACTCCGAATTCTACTCCAAATTCTACTCCGAATTCTACTCCAAATTCTACTCCATTCTACTCCATTCTACTCCATTCTACTCCATTCTACTCCATTCTACTCCATTCTACTCCAGTCTACTCCATTCTACTCCAGTCTACTCCATTCTACTCCATTCTACTCCAGTCTACTCCAGTCTACTCCAGTCTACTCCAGTCTACTCCAGTCTACTCCAGTCTACTCCAGTCTACTCCAGTCTACTCCAGTCTACTCCATTCTACTCCATTCTACTCCATTCTACTCCATTCTACTCCATTCTACTCCATTCTACTCCATTCTACTCCATTCTTCTACTCCATTCTACTCCATTCTTCTACTCCATTCTACTCCATTCTACTCCTCCATTCTACTCCATTCTACTCCTCCATTCTACTCCATTCTACTCCTCCATTCTACTCCATTCTACTCCTCCATTCTACTCCATTCTACTCCTCCATTCTACTCCATTCTACTCCTCCATTCTACTCCATTCTACTCCACCATTCTACTCCATTCTACTCCACCATTCTACTCCATTCTACTCCACCATTCTACTCCATTCTACTCCATTCTACTCCATTCTACTCCATTCTACTCCATTCTACTCCATTCTACTCCGTATTCGTACCCTAACTATCTGAAGGCTGAAGGCAGGAGTCCCAGGAGTCCCAGGAGTCCCAGGAGTCCCAGGAGTCCCAGGAGTTGAAGTTTTTGTCAAAGCTCAGCTCTGTCAGCTCTGTCGTCCTCCATCTCTAAACCCACAGAGCATCCAAAGCTCAGCAGTTTTTCAGGTGGATCTGCCCAGCCAGGACAAACCTCCTCCTGGCGCGGAGATCGGAGCATAGCAGGAAGTGATGAATAAGTGAATTAAGTGAATAACTAATGAATAACCACAAAAAAAACCTGGTAGCTCCTCCAACTTGAGGTATCCGATATCCAGCTTCTAGGATAATTACAAGCATGGTCATTCAATGGTCTGCCAGCGGAAATTGAGATATATATATATATTGTATTGTATTATATTATATTCTATCATATTCTATTATGTTAGTTTGTATTTATTATATTATATTATATTATATTATATTATATTACATTATATTATATTACATTAAATTATGTTATATTATATTATGTTATATTATATTATATTATTATATCATGTTATATTATATATAATCATACATATAATATTAGATTATATATAATCATATATATATATATACATTCATTCATTATATACAATATATTACATCATATATAATACATATAATATACAACATATTACATCATATACAATCCATATAATATATAATATAGGCTTAAGGGATAAGCATCCAAAATATCCCAGCATCGTGGCCGTCAAATCGTTTTTCTTACCTTCTCTCTGCTTTGCCTGTAGACTCGGAAGGACTACACAGGAGTGCCTGTTTGCAGCTCCCTCAGCGCACCACAAACACACCTTTCCCTCAGGCAGTCCCACCACATAATTTTATATAATTAAGATATTCAAGCGCGTTGCTTTCCGTGTACAGGAGCATAATTTTCGTCCTGCAAGTTGACCGCATTCTCAAGATCGTCCTGGCAGACGTGAATTAGCAACTGCACCTGTGCATTCAACCGCTCTCAAAATCCCAGAGAAGCATCCCCCTCGATTGAAGGTCCACACATCTCGGCAAACGCAGCGAATAGAAATTGCCAAGGCAAAGAATTTGAATCAATCACCAGCTGGCAAAACAGTTCAGTTCAAGGAGTGATTCTATTTCACTAAATCTCATTGATCTTCATTCCTCTCTTCTCCGGGCCCATCCCTGTCCATGACATGCTTCGTGCGAGTGCAAATGGTGGTGTGCCAGGGGTTCGCGCTGTCTGCTGGTACTGAATCAAGGACTTCTGCCACAGCCTCCCGGACGGTCCGGACCGTGAAAGCCCCAAGGCATCTCAAGGTCAATGCGCTTGTTTAGTGGCGAAGCTTGTGAAGCCCCAAAGCAATGAAAACCATATTCGACGTACCTAATTATCCCAAGCCCAGTGGGAAGTATTCAAATCATTTTAAAAGTCAGTTGAGTCTTTCAAAGTCAAGGGCTTAGTCTGTTTTCTCTGAATGTGCAGCCTCCTTTGATGGGGAGGCAGCTGCGAAGGACTCGCCGGGAGCGCAACCTCCACCTCACCCAGCGGTTCATGCTGACTCGTATTCATCCTAGTGTCCGAAATGTGTCTAATTATGTACATATTATATATATAATCAATACATTGTCCATGCAAACAGTATATAATGCCAAATATCGGATATCGAGTATGAGATCTGGGATAAGGGCATAGCAACAGCAGAAATCTCATGACTGTAGGCGAGCGCCTGATCTTCGGCTTGCCCGGCGCTGCAGTAAGAAAAGGCGATCCTGGAGATCAAATGAGAACCCCACACTAGTGATTACTAAGTGATTACTGATGCTTGCTGTCAAATCTGTAAATCTTAGCAGAGTTGTGGGTGTGCTGGTTTGGCCTGGTTGTAGTGTGATAAAGTGAGGTCGGAAATGGGTGTGGGTCAAAATGAGGTACCCTAAAATGGGAGTCAGCAAAACCTGCGCTCCACTTCAGTTCTGACCCTTTTGCAAATCACTCCTGCAGGGGAGAGAATCTACTCACTGGATTGGATCATGGAAAAAGATGAGCTGTCGAGTCAAACCGAAAAGAGGTAAGCAGTTGATTTGTGATTCCATGCGTCTCCAGGTTTCCCTCATGGTGTGCAGGAGTGAATTAAGCTGATCGGTCCTCTCCATGTTCTCCATTCACTGTTGAGAAAAACGCTAAGATGCAAAGAGGGAGCATGTCCGCTATCGAGTGGTTTCGAGGGACAGCTGTGAGCCAATTCGCGACAGTTCTCAAGCGAGAGTGTGCAGGCTCTGTTGCTTTGATAAGCACTTCATCAGTTGTACCCTTTTGTTTGGAGAGGAAAAAGTACAAGTCCTTTAACTACGTACATCATGTTGTGTCATCATTCTTCAACTCATTGTATAGATCTGTTGATCTATTTCATTTCGATAGAGGATAGAGCGTACATATCCTTACAAGTAACATAGAACCACGAGAACGATCCAAAAAGACTCAATGCCTGGTACTGAGTCGGTGCTGACAAGGCACTGGCAGGAGCTCCTGGCTGCACCCTCAGAAGAGTAATATGAAACTTTTCGAACTTTTGAAACTGAAAACGTTTCTGCAGTTGAAAACGTTTGAAATCTGAACTCTTTGAAGTTTTGACGTTGCTGAAGCTTCCCTCAAGTTTCATTCACAAACTCGATGCTTTGACTCTGACTCTGTAGTCTTGCTGGACCTGCCTCTCTTGACCCATGCAGCAACTCAGGTAGAGATTGCTGGTACAATCTAGCCAATCTAGCATTGATTTGGGTGGTGTGCCACAATATGTACTTGGGGAAAGCGTGCAGTGGGCTAACAGCGGCCAACATGAAGTCTTGATTTTCTGCCGTTGTGCCATGCGCAAGCTGCTTTCATTCTGGCTTGGTTGTATGCTTAGACTCCGCTCCGTAGTTTGAGTTTTTATTAGGAACTGTTCTTCACCAACGTCATGAAGAGTACGGTAGGTGATTTCAGGCAGATACCCCGAGGGATCCGTTTCCTGTGTTCAGCACCAAGACCGGCCCAAGACCCCAAGAACCTAAAACCAACATCTCCCAGGTAAAGCTGGAAATAGCAGTGCCGAGTCTCCGCCGCAGCACTCGCACGCATAGAGATCCGCATTGGAGTCGTCCTTCTGCAGCCGTCCGTCCGATTTCCAAAACCGAAACTTGTGCAACCTGCAAATAGAGTATTGATATGTATTATGATAATAATGATAGATGATAGATAATAATTGATACAGTAATTATCATACTCATAATCCTTGTAAAATGAGCTTTGGCACACGAGTGGAACTTAGAGCTGCCTAGCTCTGGTGGTATTCAGGGCCCCATATGTTGACAACAATAATTCCTTGCTCAAAAACAAACACGCTGGCAACACCCATAGAGCAAAGCGCATCTGCCCGTTCTCAACCCACCACTTTGGGCAAGCTGTTGAAGTGCACAGTGGTTTCCACTTGAGCAGCAGCATGCAACGACTGTCTCCAAACAGAACGCAGTGGTCATATGCATGGCACTGTCAGCCGAAGGCATCATGCAACTGTTCCACACCGCATCTACATCGAACAATAAAACATTATCACAATAGGACTAAACGATCCATCTAGCAGTCATCTAGCAGTCATCTAGCAGGGTTGCTGTGGTTTGTTGCTGTGGTTTGTTACTCGTTCGGATCACTTGTCCGCAGCCTTTTCTGATTGAGGCCACAATCTGACTTCGCCAACCCGTGGAATCAATCAAAGAGTGCAGCGAGTCCTGTCGAAGCACAGTGCAACGTGTGCACTTCGAGCTGTCAGTATCTGTCAGTTCAAGGGATGTTCAAGGCGTTTTAGCTTGGTGTGTCTCGACATGTCTCGTCGGTCGTCCCTCCTTCTTTCTTGGGCTCAGAAGGCCCAAAGGCTGCAAGGGGATCCTGGGCTCTATGAGGTTGCGGCCGAGCGCTGACCAGGTGCAAAGACTGTGTACAGGAGATATCAAGTGATATCAAGTGAGATCTCAGATTGAAAGTTGAAAGTGTTTCGAAAGATGCTGCCAGTCAATTTTCAGCCATGGTGCAGCGGCTGTCCCGGAACCTGTCAGGTGCACAGCAAGTACAAAGCGCGAAAGCCTAAAGGCATTGAAAGAAAAAGCATGAAAAAGCACAAACGAGAAGCACAAAGTTAGAATGCAGCCTGGACGAAAGAAGTCATTTGGGTCCTTGGCGCTTGCAGTGGAGCTAAAACACAAACAAACACTTCTAGCCAAAACACGTCCTTGTCTTCTGTGCAGGCCTAAAAGAATGAAAATTTATATTCTGACTCTGCGGCCAGAGTTGACCCGAGGCCAGGAGTAGACATTGTTACCAGTAGAATTACAAACCTTGTCACATTGTGTGCCATTGCCTACCCTTGTCTACCCTTTTCTTCTGTCACTTCAGAATCTAACTTCTCCACAAAGGATCGGTGTCAAACGCATTCGCGAAGCCATTGATGTGTGGGCCTGGTCAAGAGATTTTGTCATGAAGGCCTGAAACGCAAAGCATGATGATGGTGTTTTGCGGTAGGGATTGATTCGGATCTGTTGCTCCGTTTTCCGTCCTTCCGGTGAAACAATGCAGGCGATATGAGGTTGGCATGTAACTGCGTCCCTTTACTAAGCATCAGTCCTCCTGTGCCTGCTGTGCTGCCAGAAGGGCCAGCCTCCAGAGACAAAACGTCAATACACATCCGACACATCCCATCAAAATCTGTCAAATCTGTTCTCCAATCCATGCTCCAATCCATTCAGATCCCATGGCCAAAAATACCTCCCCTCCAAACCCCACGTTCGCCATGCCCAAATACAGTCTTGTATAATCTTGTATACTTGTCACCATAGAATGAACAAGAACACTGGCTATTAGCTGCGATTTGACATTGAGCTCTCAGGATTTACTGCGGTGATTTACGGTTTAAAGTTTTAGGGTACGGTTTTAGGGTTTAAGGTTTCAGGATTTTGGCTTTGCTGTCAAAAGAAAAAAATACGCAGGCATTGGAGAATGTCAAAGGATGTGCAAGATCATTCACGGGCATATGCCTACTTTTTCTCTTGACATCCAACATGCCCTCGAGCTTGACAAAGATCACAGTGTCCCTTCTGATTTTGCTTACGTGGTTCCGGTGGCTGAGTAGTTGGTTAAGCTTGCTTGACACGGGTTTCACCTCATGGTTTTTGTGGGTTGAGTATGCTGGAGTTCCGTATAGGTTGGCTTCCTGTGCTTGCCAGAACGATTTGGCCTTTTTCCACTTTTTGCTCGTTCACTCAACAAGATTTCCCCTGGCTTGGATCATGCACACCGCTCATCCCATCAATTTGCAACATGCGCTGCTCAACGCTCAAGGTTTCCTGATTTCATTTCTCTTTGGGACTGAGCCATCGAGTACAGAAAACAAATACAACGACTCCTTCGAACCAATCATAGCTGCCAAGCAGCTGAGATGAAAGGAGATACCCCTGTAGACGGCACAGCTGCATGCGGCATAGAAGGAGGAGGCGCAGCTGCCTCGAAAAGTCGGAACTGCTGTTTGTAGCTACTACACCACTACACCTCTGACTCTTGTTTCATGGGCTTTTGAGACCGACTTGCCACAAGAATGCAGCACGAATATTGTTTGATGTCAGGAAGGAGCTAAAGGTAACAGCGCAAGTGCAGTCCAGCAACATCGAAGGGGTTCACAGCTGCAGGGACCCCGCCATCGTTGCCATTGCTTCCTGACGAATCAAACTAAATGAAGGTCATTGCTGACATGCTGGTCACATGTTGCAAAGGTTGTACCAGATTGTTCAAGTCGCCTGCAGTCCCTGAACTTCTGAAAGGATCAGAAAGTGCAGCACCGGAGCTGGAAGCACTCGCCTAGCTGCACAGAGGCGTGCGGAGAATTCTGAGTCTGAGATGAACCAACTCCTGCTGATTCGCAGCCTGAAACTTCTCTGACCAAGACTGTCCTTGCAACCTACTCTTCGGAAAGATAAGAACAAGAATCCAACATGCCCTCGAGCTTGACAAAAATCACAGTGTCCCTTCTGACTGGCTTACGTGTTTCCGGTGAGTAGTTGGTTGGGCTTGCTTGACACGGTTTTCACCTCATGGTTTTTGTGGGTTGAGTATGCTGGAGTCCCGTATAGGTTGGCTTCCTGTGCTTGCCAGAACGATTTGGCCTTTTTCCACTTTTTGCTCGTTCACTCAACAAGATTTCCCCTGGCTTGGATCATGCACACCGCTCATCCCATCAATTTGCAACATGCGCTGCTCAACGCTCAAGGTTTCCTGATTTCATTTCTCTTTGGGACTGAGCCATCGAGTACAGAAAACAAAGCAATAGAACGACTCCTTCGAACCAATCATAGCTGCCAAGCAGCTGAGATGAAAGGAGATACCCCTGTAGACGGCACAGCTGCATGCGGCATAGAAGGAGGAGGCGCAGCTGCCTCGAAAAGTCGGAACTGCTGTTTGTAGCTACTACACCACTACACCTCTGACTCTTGTTTCATGGGCTTTTGAGACCGACTTGC